CAAATTCAAATACATACCAACAGGTGTTATAACGAGCGTTGAATGTGTCTGGCTGAGAGCCAGGGAAATAAGTCACAGCATTCAATTTAAACAACAATTCAATTTGGACATTATATTCCGAAATGAGGTTTAATTACTCGATATAAGCTGTATGTCATATTCCTTTGCCTGCGATTGTTTAAAAAAAATACTGTCAATTTGACGTACGCATTAATTTTTATTCCATACTAATATTATAAATGCGAAAGTAACTCTGTCTGTTTGTCTGTTACGCTTTCACGCCTAAACCACTGAACTGATTTTAATGAAATTTAGTAGATAGAGTTGATCTTGAGAAAGAACATAGGATAGTTTTTATCCCAGACTTTTGAAAGGTTCTCTTGGAAACGAGATATAACCGAACTCCACGCGGGCGAAGCTGCGGGCGGAAAGCTAGTAGATAATATAATGGCATATTATATGTCATTTAATAAAAAAAGTATGAATAAAGCATAGACAATTTTCAATTATACATCCCGTAATGGAATAAACAAAAATATATTTTCAGTGACGTTTACATAGACCATAGACAATATAACAGTATATCAGAAATGACATTTATTTAAAAAAAGTAGTACAATAGCATAGACAATTTTCCATTATTCTATCTAGTTGTCATAAGATAATCTTTAATAGAGTCTGGTTTTATTTCAATCGTTCTTTCATCTACAAAGAGAAATATCAAATAATATTTATTTTGTCGATTTTTTTGTCACAGTACTGTATTATGGTTATCAGAATGGGTTTAATTCATTTGTAGTAGAACGGTAAGTCTAATGATGCATTTACTACTGAACAATGCCTTCATTGAAATTGTTGAAGATCGCGATAATGTAATATACCTAGTATAGAAAAAAATGTACTTAAGATTCATTTAATTCCTAATTTAAGTTTTTATCATAAAATAATTTATTTTGATAAAAAAAATATTTTCAGATTACTACATGTTACAGCAACCGTGATCACCTCAACAAAATTTCATTATTTGGATATATTTTTCTTTAAAATAATAAATATCATATATATAAAAAATATATAGAACTATAGTTGAGATTAAATATATAAAATATTGGACAAATAGAAAAACAGACAAAAACTCCTTACACAAACTATCACGAATTACTTTGGACTAAACAAAGAATGTTGACATATTAAAAAACTTAATATTGTAAAGATATGAACACTGGCAATATTAATAGATTTTTTTGTTAAGTTTTTTTATACAACTCAACATATTCAAATGATTGTTGAATAATTCAATTATTTTATATGATTTACATACAACTGATTTCCTTTAACTCTACTTTCTATTACTTAATAATTAATTCATCGATTTTTTTTCTCACACTACTAAATATTAAATACGTAGATGTGTTTTTATATTGATGTCTTGTAGATATTACAATATATAAATATTATTTTAATTGTTCCTAATATTGAAAATTTCATAATAAAATTCATATAATTCTTAATTACTTACTTAGAAAAAAATACTTGTTTTATAACGATTATACGTATATTATCTGAGTATAAAAATATGTCGAGAAGACAAAGATAACTCAAAAAAAAATCTTAATTTTTCTAAAAGAATTCACACAAAATTCTACAGCGGATGAATCAAAAATATTTTTTAAACTCATTTCTTTAGATAACTTACATCTATAACATCTACATATTAATACAAAAACTTCAATATTATATAATAATTGCGTCCTTAACAAAAAAAACTCTCAAAGTGTTGTTATGTGATGTATTGTTAGTTTCTATTCTAGTTAGTAAATGTTAGAAACTGGGTTTTTGGAAGTCTTGCTCCTTAAAACAAGTGGCACGCTTTTGATACACAAGTTTTTGTCTCCCGGCTTCGTTAGGAATTACGAGAGCACTTTCGTATGACTTTACAAGTTGACGTACTACATATAATAAATAGATTTAATCAATATTAATTATAATACATAAATAGTAGGAAAAGAATACGGTGGAGGAAAACATCGTGAGGAAACCTGGACTTATAGTTTCACAATTATAAGTTTGAAATCACCAACCCGTCTTGAGCAAGCGTGGTGATTAATGCTCAAACCTTCTCCATGTGAGATGAGGCCTTTGCTCAGAAGTGGGCTCTGATAGGCTGACGACGATAAGACATCAATAGTAATGTCTAAATCTAAATCATTGGATAAATTAAACAATTATGTACTAATTGTAAAAAAATTACCTAAAAAGTCGTTAATTTAGAAAATATTTCAGTACAAACTTTATTCTGATAATTTTAGTCCAATGTAGATGTAATTATCCAATGGTAATTACGCGGTTTTGCACTATCCCCGACGATATATATAAAATAAAGTCGTATTAGTTACACTATTTATAACTCAAGAACGGCTGTACGGATATGGTTGAAAATTGGTGGAGAGATAGATTAGAACCAGGAGACGGACATAGGATATTTAATACTGTTCGATTGAAAAGGAAATAAACTTAATAAATTCCAATATCTGATTAATTATGTCCTCTAAGGCGGAATAGAGTTCGCCCGGTCAGCTATACATATATGTATTACTAATACCGAAATTAACGCGAACCAAGTCGCAAAAAAAACTAGTATGTTATAAATTATAAATTTATTTTTACTTTTAAGTAATAATGATAATTAAATATAAAAGTATAATGTATTAATAAAAAATAAACTTCTTTTTGATCAGTGGCAGTCTAAATCGTCAGAAAAATCCAAATAATTTTTACGAATGTCTGTCTACCCGCTACCGTATTTTTCTTTATTGGCAAATGTTTCTTGGAGTTAAGATAAATTTGTTTAACAGAGCCTTATTGAACTAAAGCCAAATATATCTTGGCATGATACTTAAAGGATACCAAGGATGTAATAGCTAAAAAACTATTTATTTTTTGGGCAAGATTCCAATAGATTTATAGGCTGTATATCATTTTAGTTAATATGAAATTTTATACATACTAAAATTATTTTTATTTTGTGACCAATAGGTCAGAAGAGCTTATAATGATAATTGCTCTTATTTCAAATGAATATAATACTATTTTAATTAAGTACATATGTATTTAAATATATATTATTTTAGAAATTAAAAAAAACAATAAGTTAATTTTAATGTATTAGAGATCATCGTCTATACATTAAAATTATTAATTACAATATATTTATTGAATAGAAATTTTATACTGTCTGAAATATATAATTTATGTTCATCTAATAATAAAGCATTACAGAAGAAAATTTTTATACAGCAATTCCTTATATTTAACTCTTTTTGAACTTAATTAAAATGTATTTACGTATGCAAACTCTTTAGATCTTAAAGATGTAAAGTTAAATCTTTTTTTAAAGTATTTTTCACAAAAAAAAAACAATATTTATGAGTACTTAAGTTTCGCGAGTATTCATTTAAATGAAACTAATATTTTTCGAATTAAACAACACGTTATTATTTTTTTTATTTTATAAATAATACTTTTAATATACTAAGAAAAGTATTAGTTTCATTTAAACAATATTAATTTCCAGTAACCATAAATAAGTTTCTATATCGAGATATCGGCTGTATGTGTTCAATCGTTGCGTAACATTTTAGAAGTAAAAATCAATTGTTCCTGGCCAGTCAGCTGTGTCATGAATATTATGAGAGCATTATATCTGATTTAATTTTAATAATTATAATATTATTATTAATTTAATTTGTTTTTAGTAATATTCATTGTTAGTGAAAATTAAACTTATGTTATATAAGCGTTGCTTTTTATGAAGATTTTATTATGTTATGTTTTTTTTTTTTTCAGTAAAATATTACGGCATAAACTATTCAGCCATCCAAATTTTTTTTTATTAAAGTACATTATAGGTTCAGATGATACTCATGTTGTATAAGCGTTACTTTTTTAATTAAGATAGTATTATCTTTTTTTATTCATAAAAATATTACGGCATAAACTATTCAGCCATCGTCTTTTTTAGAACTGAATGATTTGGTACAAGTGAAATTGAAATAGACTGTACCTCAAATATTTTTTTTAATCTTTATTATTTTTGATTAATCATTATGAGGAATTTTATTTTATTTTGTTACATATTAATACTGGCAATATAACAAAATATTTTATTAGATTTTTTTTAATAAATTCATAAAATGTATTCTGAACCAGAAGGAAGAGTAGAAACTCTTCTATATTTTTCAGGTATAAAAAATATTGACATAAAAACTTTTCAGTATTTAACCTAAATTTGAAAACAGAAATCTTTTCAACGTTTTTTAATCGGTTGGCTGTATTGACGAAATAGTACAAAAGTCACTTCATACTTAAAGTATCGCTCGGGAACGAAAACGAGTTGAATTATTTGATGGCAATCAAAAGTTACTGTGAAAAATTGTATTTTAAATTGACTGATTTTTACTTATATTTGGAATACTTACTTAAAAACATTTTACTCTCAATTTTTCGGTAACTGTATTATATTTAATAATATGTTTATTTTTAGTAGAATTTACTTCATGTTAAAATATTTTCAGAACCTATTACGACGAAGATAGGACTTCAGTGAAAGAACTATTTTTGCTGAAACAGTATCTCCTTTGTCTTATACATGTATGAAAAAATATATTACAGAAAAAAACGGTAACATCTAATTTAAATTAAGAATAAAATGATTTTTTTAAATATATTATACATATATGGCATAGGTTGTGAGTCATACAGCCGATATCTAATAAAAAGATCTCATTGAAGTATAAGACGACATCAATGGACGGTTTCCAAGCATGCGTAGCGCGAAGTATACGCAGGCGTACATCATCAGTTACTATGTAATAGGAGGGTTGGGCCAGATTTGATGTAGGTAACACAGATTTAACTTAATATGTATGAATGAAAAGTTAAGGATAGTTTGGAATTAATATGGAGAATGTAAGTGAGGGATATATAGGTATTAAACTGACCTGGTTTTCTTGGTTGAGTAGTTTCAGTTGGTCGTTGATCAAGCTGTATTTCGCGCTCTCTTCTTTCCTAAGCGCCCGCTCCTTCTTCAGCTCGGGGCTCCAGAAGGTCTTTATGCTGTGCATGCTGGAGCCGAGCTTCTGATTGGTCAGTTCGAGCTCCTTCTTGAGGTTGCCCAGTTCTCGCTGTAGGTCCGAGTTCTGTGACTGGAGCTCCCCAAGGAACAGCGGCGGCGGTTCTCTTCTGTAGTAGTCATCTTCGGGGGGCGGCGGCGGCGCGTACGACCGGTCGTAGTCCCTCTCCAGTGATTGGTATCGTAATGGCCGCGGTCGGCGGTGGTGCGCGCCGGCGGAGGCGGAGCGCCCGCGTTCGTCGGGCGCCGGCGACGGCTCGTCATCCCGCACGAGGTAGGGGCTGCGCCGCGAGGGGCTGCGCCGCGAGGGGCTGCGGTCCACCTGCGGCAGCCGCGGCCGCGTCCACTCCCGGCACGGCGGCCGCTCCTCCTCGCCGGCGTACTCGCGGAGATACAGTTTGGCGTGTTTCCCGCCTCAATTGGTATTCATTGTGCACCGGACGCTTTGACGGTCGCGCGATCACTGAAGTCGGTACGGGACGCTCCGAGCATCGATCGTTCCTGTTACCGCGCATGCGCACTGACGTGGTGTCGTGAAGCGCTTTCAGCGCTGCTACGCGTTCTACGTTGGACCGTGATCTATAAATGGTGGTATATTTAAGTGGAGCAGAGGTGTGTCTACTTTTTTTTGGATTCATATTCTCCTGAATGAGAGCACTATTTCTATTCATAAGTGACATGTCAATCTATTATAGATGATGGACGGTTTAGATTCTTATCTTATACGAACTTAAATTCAAAGACGTTAACCACTTACTAAACTGTAGGTAAATGTTTCTTTGTACTCGTACGTAGGAAATATTACCTATCGGTTGAAACAGAAACGCTGTTACTTCCGGCAAAGCGACAAAAAGCAAATAAATATAAATATTCCTACACCGACATTTTATTGTTTCCACTTCAAATAAAACACAAGCTTGATATAGATATGAAGTTATACTTAATATAAGTAATTACATTTTCAATTAGCGTTTATACATTTCTAAGACAAGATAAGAAGAAACATCAAAGAAACCATCAAAGTTAAAAGAAACTTAATTATATACTATTAGTTTTAAATGTGATATTACCGAAACGATTAATTATGTCATAGCTTGGCTATTTATAGCTGTTTTCAGCCTCCCGTTCAGTAATACAGCGTTAAAAGCGCTTTACATCCGAGCGTCTGCTTGAAGTTCCTCTTATCCCATGACCCACTTAACGTCTGTCTCTTTCTGGCACATATAATAGATTTATTTCCATCTCGCTCTGAGGTCGTCGTATATCGGTCAGGCGGGTTGCAACCGGGAATAGTGATGTGGCATAGTCGATAGTTTATTAACTTGATTAAAAAATATACAAAAATGTTTAAAACATAAAAAAGAACAGAATTAACGATGAAAATAACTGTTATCTGAAGTAATTGTCACAACAACTTTCGTAATATTCAATTATTTATAGTTAAATATTATTATAAATTTTATACATATTACACAGACAATAATAGTTAATTTTTAAATAACCTCATATCAGAAACTTGAAATTCATCCCTTTTTCTTAACTCGATGTATTCAAGCAGTATTCAAGTTTACGAGGTATCAAAATAAAATAAAACTTGTACGAGTGAAATAAAACGTATTCGCACCAATATTTAAATTGTTATCGAAAATATATTCCTTTTGTGATTTGAGCGTTTTTTTCGGAGCGTAATTTTAAGCGTAATTTTCCGGAGGTAACGGAAAGACATTAAAATATTTAATGACTATATCCGCAATAAACAATCGTGAAATTATATCACATTTAATATTATTAAAATGCATAACACAATATTTTTTAAATATTCATCGGTTTTTTAATATATTTTTTAATAACCGTTAGACATACAAGAACAACTCTAATGTATCCTAACTTGAACTCATTTCCGCATTTTTAAATATTTCGCAGGACTTGTTAGTCTGACTATAACTTGAATAATTGTAGCTTTTCATTAAAATATGCATATTTATCTAGGTTTTTTATAATAAAACCTCATTATCGTTTTCTAGAAATATATTTAATATTAACTATAATTTCTGACATATACATATAAGTACAATATTGACCGAAACAAAATGTTCTTAATTTAAATTTAACAATGAGTACTTAAAGCTTAAAGGAGTGAAATGTATTGAGATTTTTCTGTTTCTGTTAATTAATCCCTTAAGCGTTTTTCGATGTGCCATTTAAAAAAACAGTTATTACTTATTATAGAGCCAGTGTTAAAAAAAGTTTTTATTTACGAGTACAGATTTTTTATTTACATTTTTAAAAGCTACTGAAAATACTTTGTTTCTTAAAATCCTTAGCCTTAAATAAATTTAACTTGAATAGCAAGTAAAATTTATAATGATTATTAAAAAGCATATCAAAGCAACCTTTACATTTGAAAAATTAATATATACTTCAACTATTAAAATATTAAGGAATAAATAAATCCCAATAAATTTTGGAAATAAAGTTATTTTTATTTTCTGTAATTTTTGTTTAAACATTAGTTATAATAACAATAAATAAAAAAAATATTTTAGAAAGCAATAGAAAAAGAACTGAAACAGATAATTTCCAATAGTTTTTAAAAAGTAGTGGCAATTTTCGTTTTTTAAGATACCCGTTACTTGACAGCGTAGGAAAATTTTAATCTCTTGTGTTTTAATTTTAAACTATTAATATAACATATATCCTTCAGTCTATATATCCTATATATATTTAAAAAAAAAACGCTTATTTATTTACATTTATCATAACGGCGCCAGGGCAATGTAGGGGAAGTGTCAATCAACACACAAACGTCATATAATTGACATTTGGAGTAATACAGATATTTAATTGATACCAGGATATATATGACAAGGGATAATCTTTAGATTACCTAAAAATGTACAACGGTCATAATTTTTACGTTTATTTTTACATTTAAAATATAATGTGAATTAATATTCCGTCAAGTTCACTTCCTAACTTAGGGAGCGTTCAAGTATTACGTAACGCAATTTTCGAAGATTTTTGACCCCCCCTTCCCCAGTCGTAACGCACAGTAACGTTTTTCTGTAGCCCCCCCCCCTCTCAAAACGTTACGTAACACTCAAGTGATCAATTTCATCAAAAGACTTACAATGCAATCTATGTATTCCCCGTTAAATATCAATTAAGAGGTTTGCAAACTTGGAATAACAAATAAAAATATTGACCAGACTAATACAATCTGGTCAACATAATGTAACGTATATGAAAAGAGTTGCCAGTTTGGGGGTTTTTATTAATATATTTTTTTAGAAACAATGTTACGTAACGTTTTGTAAGAGACACCCCCTCCCGCCCCTGTAACGCATCGTAACGTTTTACGAGACCCCCCCCCCTCCCCCAAAATTGCGTTACGTAATACTTGAACGCTCCCTTATGAGCAACGTGCAAAATAAGAAATAACTAATAATCAATCACATAAACTTATAAAAAATATAAAAAGCGGGAGAGTAAAATTTATTTTTTTATTATTTCATGTGTTCTTTATAAAAAATACTTTAACTGATTTTATTTACAGATTATACTGAAAAAATGAACAGATAACGTTACAGTGTATTGTAATTTTCGTTTGAAAATTAAATGAAAACGAAAATTTGTTATTATTAATGTAAATAATAAGATTTATATCAAGTTTTAGCAAATTCATGAATGTATTCGCCTAATATCTAGATATGTACTAAACTCAATACGTTAGTCTCAGTCATCTAATTTTACATGAAAACTATATTTAAATTTTATATAAACTAAAATTTATTAAAGCATGTATCGAGACGAAAGAGCTTTCTAACTATACGTTATAAATACAATTTGTTTTCTTGTAAAAAGCAAAAATATTTTTATAAATTTATCAGCCGGAAAAAGATCATTCCCTAAGGATATATAAAAATATGTTTTATCATGAGCAAAAGCGTCCGATGACCGCATTTCAATATATATGTTACGTTTTTATATTCATATTTTTAATTCTTGATATAATTTATACTATCTTTCGGCCCGCAGCTTCGCCCGCCTGGAGTTCGGTTATATCGCGTTTCCAGGAGAACCTTTCAAACGTCTGGGATAAAAACTATCCTATGTTCTTTCTCAAAGTCAACTCTATCTCTATACCAAATTTCATTAAAGTCAGTTCAGTGGTTTAAGAGTGAAAGCGTACAGACAGACAGACAGAGTTACTTTCGCATTTATAATATTAGTAGGGATATATGTAGATATATAAATAAAACGTACAATTCATGGGATGTCATGGAAATGAAGACAACATAGCTTCCCGGACGTCGCAAATCGTTCTTAGTGATAGAAACACATATCTAGCTTTATGTCTTATTATTCGTTTTATGATTATAAATTATCATTCGGAAGTGTTACAACGTTATAATAAAAATAACATACAATTTTATATTAAAAGGTTGGTTTAATTGGCGACCGCTCTTGCTTTAAATTTATAGATAAGTACATAGATAATTATTAATATCAAATTTTATAGTCTACATTTAATCTGGATGTCATTTGATTCTTGTTATAAATAAATTATGTCTCTATTATTAATTATTTTTTATGTTTTCCATACTTCTTATAGCTTCGTTATCAGAGAACGCATTTAGCATTACTTATAGCTTTTTGATCGCCATTTTTTGCACAATAATCTAATGAAATCGTAAATAAATAGATTTATAAAGAATAAAGTACTAACAAGCAGTTATCATCATTGTGAGGGTCTTATATGTACATCTTCTTGGTATAAAGCTGTTGTAAAGTCTCCTATGTAATTTTTACAGTTATAGAATTCTTGGAGAATTTTCTGTCTCGTTAACCAACATGGACAAAAGTTTAGGGATTTTATTTTTAAATTGAGACATGTTTATCACATATGTGTAGTAAATTTCTCGAAGTGGTAGAGCCTAGCCGTGGTCAAGTTACTACATCTCGAACATGTGCTGGCTCGATTGGAAGTACCACCCTCTCACGGAAGATCTGCGTGAAGTCTTTAATGTTTGAATTTCGACCGATGAGTGAGAGAGTCGGTTGCCCTTTCCCTATACCCACCCTTTCCTACCATTTCCTTATTCCTCCTCTCCCTGTTCCTCATAACTAAGGTTGGAATCGCATCTGCAACATCTCTTATGTTGTGGATGTCCATGGGCGACGGTGATTACCTTCAATTAGGTAAGAGGTTTGCTCATTTGCCATTTTTCTCATAAAAAAAAACTTTAGGAACAACTATAAGAGACTAGAAACTAATATGTTTAATATTTTTACCTCTTTGGAGAAGCTTTTAAGTAGACAATATTAAGTATTGTTTTGAGAATTTATATTGGTCTTTCAGCAAGCGTCTTCTACTCCCGTAAGTCGTAACTATACGTTAGTTTATTGCTATAAAATGAACGTCATTTTAGTTTCTAGGAAAATGTATAGAAGGTAATTAATAAGCACAAATTAACATAGCCATAGTAAAAAATCTAGTTTACGAAGTCTATAACATTTAATGAGAATAAGAACTAAGATTTTCGCGAGTATTCATTTAAATGAAACTAATATTTTCAGATTACTACGCGTATATTACTTAAAAAAACGGATGTACCGTTAACGTAAACATTGGTAGTATGTAGATTTTAATAATAATAAATAAACTTAGTAATCTGAATATATTAGTTTCGTTTAAATTTAATGAGAAATTCTAAAAGACAACTGACACTGTTGTGGTTTGAGCCATCTACCGAAGTGATCCCCAGACTAACCTGGCCGTCTAAAAGTCCCACGGGAACAGTATGTTACTTAATAAACGTTTACATTTAATAAACTTACATTTGCTTCAATATTTAAATATGTAAAAACACATTAATGATATTAACATTTCTTTTTATTATATTAAAAGAGATTATCAGCCGTGAAAGAGATGGATATAGCCGAACAATTTAAATGAAATGGAATAAAATAAATTGTTACCAAAAAAACATGGGGTACTGACTTTTCCTAGGTGGCTTAGCTTAGCTGTAGTCAAAATACTACAGTTCGAACACGGGCTGGCTCGACCGGGGCAGTACCACCCTCTCATAGAAGATCGGTGTGAAGTAGTTTTTAGTCTTTAGAGGCTGCGTTTCGTTCGATGAGTGAAAGCTTCGGTTGTCTTTTCCCCATTCCCTCCCGTTCCTGCTATTTCCCTATTCCCCCCCCCTCCCTTTTCCTCAACAATCAAGGTTGGCAACGACGATTGGTGACGGTCACTACTGCCCATCAAGTAGGCCGTCTACTCGTTTGCCACCTTTGACATAAAAACGACAGACACAGTAATTGCTAAAAAAGCTGGAAATTAAATATATGCAGGCGTTTTTGACTTTAATTTGAATTATTTAGATTTGTGCTCTGGCACTCAATAAATGTTAATTTCATTCATTAATAACTCTGATATCTATAAAAGATCTTGAGAAAAATTTTGATGAGTATTTTAAATATTATTTTATTTATTACCGCGGTCTGCATAGTATTGTATTTTAATTATGTATTCGTAATGTGAAAATAATTTCTTTCAAAACGATCATATTTTGGGGATGCAATTCTTTTCGTATAAACTTTAATATGGGATCTTAGAAAAGTATTAGTATAACTATCTCTATAAATATATATCTCTAGTAGCAAACGAAACTTTTACAATACGTCTTTGTTGTACATATTTATAGTTGGTAAGCGTTTCTATCGCATAGAGAACATTTTCACATTTATTTTATTTTAAAAGAGGAGATTTTTTTTTAAGCCCAAGCATACTACCTGGTCATATTTTTTAAAAATTCTAATGCAATCATTTCATTTCAAAACGAGTAACGTCATATTAATGTCATTTATGACAGCATTACGACGTATATAAAGTCACATTTTGTGATTTTTATACAACCCTAACATTATTAGGTTGTATTCAGAATTTGCACTTAAACCTTTAATATTTAAATAGTTATAATAATGCCGCTGCCTCCAGCAACAGGAACCGGGAGGTATTATGCAATTGCGGCGAAATCCATCCGTTTAATTCGTCATGGATGCACAAATAGACCATTCTTTCATATATCAGTAACTCACGTAAGTTTATTTCTGTTAAAGTATAATCATGAAAGGAGTATTGTTTAAAAAAAACAAAAATGTTATTACCAAGGATACGATATAATACTTAAAAGTGCTAGGTTATCTGGTTATTTCACATAAAATGACAAAATATTTACCTAATTTACAAAAACTATCTGACACATCTATTTAATACAGAGAACTAATGTACTAAATACCACTATTATAAATAGAACATTGAAGATACTACAATACATTTAAGAATACTACAATTTGCTTAATTTTGGTTTATTTTTAACAACATTAAGTAATTCTCAAAGCAGTATTTAGTCATTTCACTAGCATGACTAAATTTAATTTTATAGCTCCCATTAACTTTTAAGTGTTATCTAATTCATTTAATTTTGAAGTTACAAAACATATGTTATTTTTGTCAGATATGTATGATATATTTTAATTTGCAGGATTACTAATTTGAAACATAATTTAAATTCAAAGCCATCAGTAGCTGAACTAAAATTCACAAAATTCAAACTTAACTTCAATAACATTTTTGTACACAAATCATTATTTTCTTACAGCGAAGAAGGTTAAATAGTCAGCCAGTCATAGAACAACTGGGTTCCTATGATCCGATGCCTAATATGAATAATGAAAAGTTGGTTGCATTAAATTTGGATAGAATAAAACATTGGCTTGGTAAAGGTGCTCATGTATCACCGCCGGTTGCAGAATTGTTAGGTGAGATATACACTATAATATAAACAATTAACTTTAGTGGTGAACTTGACTGTAAAAACAAAAAACTTGCCTATGGAAGGATTATTTTAATATGCTTGGCAGTTGAGTAAAATAAGCTTGGATAAAAATTGAATATGTAGTGTTGCAAATTATCTTAAATTTCAACTGTCTCCTGGTATTACATTAATAATTTATCTATTCAGTCAGTGAAATAAAACTAATATTTGCAGATTTAGTACACAAGTTTAATATTTCTTAACTATTATACATACTCCCAATGTTTCTGTAACTCTGCAGCAACAGTGATCACAGGAAGACGGGATGAAAATGATGAATATAAGAATGAAGGGCATACTAAATTCCAAAAATATTAGTTTTTCAATGACTATGCACAAAAGTCTTAGATCTCATTATCCTTAATATTGTTTTAAATATTGCATTCTTATAACTTTTCTTTATATTCACCTTATAAATCATGAAAAATGTTGAATAACATGAGTTATGAGAAAATTTTGTTTCAATTAAATATGAAATTAATTTCAATGAAGTTTTTATTGAGATGGGTTGAATTTGAAACTGAAATACTATTATTTTGAACTGACTGCAAATTGTTTATTGAGTATTGTTTTCCACTGACTGATTATTTATTATAATAATATATAATTTCAGGTCTATCGGGCTTCTTTCCCATACATCCTCGTTCATACATGACGGCCTGGAGGAATAGAAGAACTGAAAGAGAGAACCAGGCTAAAGAAAAAGCTGAGGGTAGTTCATAAGTGTTGTTAGATTATAATTAGCAAATATATTAATAGATAGTCTGTATTGTTTTATTATTTACCTTTTACATATAGACATTCAAAATGTATAGGGCCTGGTTTTTGCACACAACTTCGAATTTTTGAGGTAAATCTGTAAAAAATATGTGATAAACTAGCTGTCACGTCCAAGCGCCATCTAGTGTGTGTAACGAAACTTCATACAAAAGTCAACTTGTCTAGTATAAATTATGATCTATATATTTTAGTGTCCGACCGAATGTCTATTTTCGGCCGAAGCTGAAGCCGATTAATCGGCAATCGCTACAATCTTCGGCAGAAGCCGAAGCTTTAGTAATCTTAGTAATGTTGTACAATATTGTCTACAAGCTACAATTAATGTTATAGATTATTTCGAATATACAAAATTGAAGGTTGTCTCCACGTGCAAGATCTTTCGAACTGTTTATATTGACTGTCTCATATGGAAGTGGATTCAAAGATGATAAAAAAAGTTTGTGATTTATTCTTAAAAAAATAATCATTTATTTATTAAGTAATTCATAAATCACAATCAGACCAATGAATCAGTCTTTGTTTACTCGACTAAGCCGAAACTAGACTAATAAATAAAATGAACAAACACCAATTTCTTAATAAATAATTAAATGTTGGTCAATTAAATGCACAGTTTAGAAAATTCAAAATAAATGTAACAATAACAATAGTTATAAATAATCAAGTAATGACTGTTTTGCCAACACAAGTTATAAGAATAATATTCTATTTTACATTCTTTCTTCGTCTTTCGTAACAGTTCGTTCAATCCCGACGGTTGCTCGGATTTTGGCCGGGTTCTGGGCCGAAGGTTTCCCCGAAGATGGTTTTCTTGGCCGAAGCCGAAGCTTCGGTCGGACATTATCTATATTCTACATGATCCTATGACGTTTAATACCAATTATTATTATTGGTTAGTTTTATTATAAGTATTCATAATAGTTGCATGAAAAATTTAATCATTTCCATTCCCAGACACTTGTTTGAATAATTTTGGTGATAAAAACTGCAGTTTTATATCAATATCATGCTTTCTCTGTACATTCATTTTTAGTTTTCAGTATATTACGTATTTTACAGTGGACTTAATAAAAAATCTACGTATAGCCAAAGCTCTAGGCGACAACCACCTTAGTCATCAGCTAGCTAGGGCGTTAAGGTCAATCCTTAAATTAATTCAAGGAATATCGGCACAAACTGCAGAATATCGCGGTAATTTTGACCGGGCCAAACAGGAAGTAGATTTTGATAAAAACCCTTTTGAGTATTCGAAAACCATTTTTAAGAAAGAACGCGGACAGCTTCTCTTGACCAACGATCAAATTTACGACCATTTCAAGAGCACATACGAAGTGCCTAAAAGTGTAAGGCTCTATACGGATCCAAACGACCAAAAACCGGAAATTCCTCATATCGATTTTCACGGCATACCACCAACGTTAGACGAAATAAGTAGTCACATAAAGAGGAAATCATCTAAATCTGCACCGGGCCCCGATGGTATCCCATATATAGTCTTTAAAAAATGTCCATCGGTTCGTAAACACCTCATAAATATATACGGTAAAATCTGGTCAAGGAAGCAAATCCCGGAGTGTTTCGGGAAAGCAATGTTTGTCCTCATTCCCAAAAAAGATCGAGTTACCGATCCGAAAGATACTAGACCGATAGCCTTAACAAATACAATATCTAAAATCTTCTTCTCGGTTCTACAAACGAGAATGACGCGATTCATGCTCAGCGACAAGTATTTTAGGCCAAATCACCAGAAAGGGTTTCTACCCGGGATTTCTGGATGCCTAGAACACAACACCTTGCTGTCGGAGAGTTTGAAAGATGCTAGAAAAAGCGAGCGGCAAATTACAGTTTGTTGGATAGACTTAGAGAACGCGTTCGGGTCGATACAACACGAGTTGATGCTATTCGCGCTTAGATGGTATAACTTTCCACCCTTAGTTAGCGATATAATTGCGTCGTATTACTCAAAATTAAAGTTTTCTATTATAACTAAAGAAGGCCCTTCAAAAAGTTTGAGTTACAATGTAGGACTATTCCAAGGGTGCTGTTTATCTCCAATAGTATTTAATATTGTAATCAATATCCTAGTAGATAAACTTATCAGCAATGAGAAAAAATGGGGGTATCGGTTTAAGTTCAATAACAAATACACGGAATCCATTTTAGCCTTCGCTGACGATCTCGCAATACTGACACGTCACCCCAAACACTGTCAAGTACTATTGGATGAAGTGGATAAATTCTGTGAGTGGACGGATGGATTGAGGACAAAACCAAGTAAATGTCATTGTCTGTGTCTTGGTAGGCGGAATACAAGATACACCTCATACGATCCGGGACTATCGATAGGCGGTCAATGCGTTTCTACGGTTACGGAAAATGCACCATTCAAGTTTCTCGGTCGTAAGATTGATAATATAGGTCGTACTCCATCTTTAGAAGGAATAGTAGATAGCTTTTTAAATGATCTCAACAAGGTAGATAGCCAGCAGATCAGTAACGTAAAAAAAGCATGGATCTACGATAATTACTTAACTTCACGTTTGAATTGGCCTTTCCTCGTCTATGATTTTAGTAAAACCCTTTTATCTAAATTAGATGCAGGCGTCATAAAGATGTTGAAGTTGTGGCTCGGGCTCGCGCTAACGGCTGACTCATCGGCTTTATTCAGGGATCGTAATAGTTTTGGGATGAATCTAAAAAGACCATCGGAGCTCTACAAACACCTAAGAGTTTCCAAGAGACATATCCTGGGAAAATCCCATGATGACGTCGTTACATCACTCCCAAAAGACAATGATGCCCCAGAGCTAGAGTCACGACTTCAATTCCATAAACAATTTATGATCGGAGCGCAAAATAACAGAGTAGGGTTAGGATCAAGTAGGAAAGTCCAAGATACGGATATATTGAAGTCTTTTATTCGGCAAGACGAGAACGATAAATACAAGATCCATGCAATGAGTTTAGAAATGCAGAACGATTGGTTAGACATAGGAGATTTTTGCATTCCACTAGCACTAAAATGGCGCACCCTAATTCATGACTGGTCGCCAGCCTTGCTAAAATTTTATCTCAATGCGTTCCAGATGACTCTCCCAGATCAGAGTAATTTAGTAAGATGGGGTAAAGGTACCGAAAAAACTTGCTATATCTGCGGAAAGGCAGTTGGAACTGCCAAGCATTTGCTGGTGGGATGTAGGGTTCTCCTGGACAGCGGTCAATACTCGCGTCGTCACGATAGGGTTTTGGAGATCATACGTGAAGCGGTTAGTCTTTCGGTAGCCAGAGCGCAAAGGGAAATAACCACAAACGAGCGATCAATAGGTTTTGTGAGAGAGGGCACCAGGGCTATAAAATCAAACGTCAAGCCTTACTCTATCCTTAAAGCGGCTTCGGATTGGACTATCATGATGGATACGTATGAGAAACAATACAAAATCCCCGAGGATATTTGTGCGTCGGCCTCCAGACCAGACATATTTCTATATTCGCGTATTTTAAAGCGCGTTGTGATGATAGAGCTTACGGTGCCTTGGGAAACCAACATCCCCAAAGACCATGCCATCAAGGTCAATAAGTATTACGAGCTCACTAACGAACTAACTCGAAATAGGTTCGTCGTTGATTTGTACGCGGTAGAGGTGGGAGCGAGAGGTATAACAGCTAAATCTCTCTATAACCTACTAAAAGACTTGGGCCTGTCCAGAACTAACATTAATTCATTCTTAGAACGTACGTCGAAGGCAGCCCTAGTAGGTTCTTTTCAAATTTGGTTAGGTAGGGAGAGGAACTTGGACAGTGGAGGTGAGCGTATAACGCGCGTTAGTTAAGGGGCCCCTTAAACCTACACCTGGGTCGCAAGTCCCAGGCACTGTTGAAGCTCCTCTCCCTGCAACGCGATGGACCCGGCACCCGCACGGTGAATCCATCGAATGCTAAGAGGTTTCGTCTCATTATTAACTTTAGAACATCAATTCAAAGGTAAAAAGGTTTGATTTTTTCACAATGTATAAATTTTTGAATCAATATTTGTCATATCATTTATAAAGTATGTAATTCTAGAAGTTTGTTAAAATAATTTTACTTTACAATCAGTCCATTTTGTATGTTTTCCCTAAAAGTGTATATGTATTTCGTGTAGATAAAAATAAAAAAATAGTATTACTGGAAGAAAAAAAAACAAATCTACAATGAATACCTTTTATTGTGTGAAAAAACGGTAACAATACATAGTGGGTACAATCAGAAGCATCAAAAGTTACACGAGTATCTATAATACAAGCGAAATACTCAAAAACACATGATTAAAAAACCAAGTGTTTATCTAAAAACCGGTGCATTAATAAAATTTAAATGCATATTACAAAATGGCTGTTATCACTATTAAAAAAACAAAATCAACATACTTTTACAATACATAACAGAAACTTGAGCAACACCGAAATCCATTGTACCAATAAAACAACACTAACTTAAGTCATAGACAAACTTATATATTTTTATTAACTCCAAACTAAAATTTACCAAACTGTCATTATAAAAAACAACTTAACCAAATAATACATAGAATGATTTCTCAATCACCTTAACCCATTAATATAAAGATAATTGTCCTTCAAATGTTTTATTAACATCACAAAGATCGATGTACAAAAATACATTTATGGTTTTTCGTTTTTTTTTTAATTAATTTTTTTGTTTTATCCGAAGCGTGTAAAAGCGAAATTGGGTTATGCTTCGATAAATGCGTTTTAATTGTTCTTCCTGACTGCATCAGCTACCAGGCGCGAGGCTGGAAAAGAAATAATATAATAAAAAAAATTATAAACAAAAATCTCACTTTTATAGTCAAGCAAGTTTAATTATGTTAATATTGAGGCCATTTTAATAGAATTTTAATTGAGCCACTATCTGTTATTCAAGTTTGTGCAAGGTATGGAAATGCAGAGAAATACATTTATGAATAACTACAGTCAATCTGGGTAACTTTGATTCATCGGGTAACTTTGACAGTGGGACCATGAACTAGTTTCGATTATTTTTTCGCATGAAACCAACATTATTCATATATGTTTATTTTAGATTTGCCATTTTAAATAAGCTTCCTAAATGCACTTTAAAAAAAAGTAAGTTGTGAAAGTAAAAAAACGTCATAACTTCGTTTCTGAATATATCGCGCGAATTTAAGTTTACTTTAGAGTGAATAACTTTTTGAATATTTTGTGATTTTGGTTGTTGATAAGGTAAGTGAGATGTTATATAGAGCCATTTATGAGTGTACTACCGCATTTTCATGAAAAAATTGCATATAATTAAATCTTATTTTAAAATTTCATGCATAAATATGAAAATACGTATTTTGAACAGTAACTGGGTAACTTTGACAGTGTCAAAGTTACCCTTACATAGGAACTAAAATGGTGGCGGAAGAGGTGGTAAAAGAGGTGATTGGAGAATTTGTTGTTAAAGATGGAGTTTTGCAACATGCACATCAAAATATATTGAGTTCTCACCTAGAACAACAGTTATATTTAAAACAGAGAGCACACTGTTTCCAGGAAAAGTGACAAGTTACACATTCCCGTATTATACACTTGTTGTAATGAGTAGATCAACACAAGGTGGTTGGAAATGGCCAGATAAAAGAGAAATTATTAAAATTAGATAAGATGATGTTGTATCTCCAGTAGTTAACAGTAAAATCAGTATAAAGCAGCCTGGGCTCTACACAAGTGTTATTGACGATTTGCTCTATATGGAGTGGAGAGAATAGACAAGTTATGCTCAAGATTTTACAAAATGTTTGTTTGTTAAAATTATTTTTGCTTGTTTTCTTTATAATTTGAATAAAAATGTTAAATTAAAGGAGTTCTTTAAGCGTTTTCGATGGTGTTAAACAATGTGTGTAACATTGCCAAATGTTGTAGACTGATTCTTCAAATTTTTTTTTAATACAAGACAAAATTGCAAAATGTTCGTTTTATTGTGTCACATGCATCCATTAGTTAATAAATATATACCAGAATGTTACCCAGATTGATAAAAATAATACTTATTACTACATTCTTATGCTTGGCTCTGTGTGTGTCAATGTTACCCATCTTAGGGGGGTAACTTTGACACACACAAAATTTAGATTTTATACTATATTGTTATGTTTTATAAACTTTCTGTGGATGTCTAGAGACGGAAAGTAATACGAGAGCACTGATAAAATAAAAACACCCGAGTGATAGGTTTAATTTTTTTAAATATAGTATAAAATATCACCCTTATCTGTCAAAGTTACCCAGATTGACTGTATTCTAAAGTTATAATATTGTTATTAAAATTATGCTAAAATCTATTTTTTAACATAAATAGCTAGCATTACATGATTGCTAAATTTCCAGAAATGTGTGTGATTTGTGTATAAAAAAAATAATAATTTTTGTTATTAAAATTGATAGTAGACCAATATGAATTTCAAGAATATATTGATATTAAGGAAATTCCATGGTCATTATATTATTATATTAGACACATTTCTGTTGCTACAGTTATTTCTTTAGCTTGATATATCTATATAACTAGGTTAAAATTTAACAACATTGGTGTATAATGTATGTATATGGAATCAAAATAAATTCTAAATATATGACATACAAGAAAATAAATTCAATCTTATTTAACAACATATTGGACACAAATTAAACGTAATACACATATAGTTAATAGCAAAAGCAATTAACCCGACAACAAAACAGAAGCAAATTAATATGTTAAAATATAATATATACTTTTTTGTAAGTTTTATATAGAAATAATAATAAAAAGCAGAACTTAATATTACTTACATATCTGGGAAAGTTGTTCTATTCTTGTTTACCTAAAATCATGGATTTTTTTGGTTAGGGATAGCTCGTCCATTGAGATTTTGAGGTCAAGAGAATAGCAAAAAATTTACAAAATAAAGTACAGAAACATAATTATAAATAAAATGTGGGACAAAAAAACTAACTACATTACCTACTACTAATAATTGTATATATCATATAATGGTGCTACTGTAATATGAAATGCAACATCAATGTTTTAAAAATAAAACGAAAAAAATATGAACATACTTTAAAAAATATATATAGAAAAATATTTTTTTCAATCTGTTAATTTTTTCATTGATGTATTTATCTTCCTAGTTGCACCTTGCACCAACTCTTGCACATTAACTGTGTTACGGAAAAATATTATGAAAATAATCATTATTATAAAACTATTAGTTGGACTGTTTATTAACAAAGACATATCTTTTATTTAGAATAGACTTTTTATACACAGGCAATTATATTTCTATATTTAATTTAAAAATATAAATATTTTTTAAATATAGAACTCATTCACGAAGCTGACATTTTGAGTAACGGAAAAATTTTCAAATTCTGCAATTACTTGGCGTGATATCAACAAACAGACTTGCATAAATAAAGTATTTGCCAAACTATTTTTGGATTAAAGTATTTCTCACGCACTATCGGTTTTAAAACCGAGTTTATTTTTAACATATTTTATCCTATTTTTAAGTAGAATCCTAAAATACTAGTATGGTTTATTCAACTTAATCCTAAAAAAATAATTGCAAAGATTAAAAATATGCTATAAATCTTTTGAGGACCATCTCATACAAAACAAAATCAGTCCCATACCTATAAAAAGTATATAACATCAAGGGTTAGTTTGTACAAATGTCTAGAATTTCATTTATATGAAAGTGATGCAAAGATATGTAAGATACCCATAATTGTAAGTGGCGAATAAATTAAATATTACTTGTTTAGAGAGTATTCAACACTATCATAAATTAGCATTGCCGAAAATCACATTCATTTTATACTGGATGGAATATTATGGATCTTTGTTTTTTCTGTGATTACTTTTTAGCTTACCACTTTCTGTAAACTATTTTTATTTAAAGTATTATGATATAAATAAAGATAGTTACTATTATTACCTTATATCAAAACTTCTTTAGATATATTTCTATAACCACATCTTGTTAAAGTCCTTATAATAAAAACTAATTCAACTAGCTTGCCCTCTTTATGTTAGCACAGTTTGTTTATTATTATTTCGGTTAATTTATTGTGCACCAAAAAAATTCTAAACATTATCATAGGTTACAAACATAATAAGATTTGTTTTATACAAAGGAGGTAGAAATGTAGGTAGGTACCATACTAATTTATTCCCAGCATGAAAAACAAAATTATAAGTTATTCTGCAACTGACAGATTTCCTCAGTTAATTTTAAATAAATTTTCCAATTTCCATACTCCACTTGTTAAATAGTTGAATATATAGCGGAATTATAGTGGACTAACATAATCTAGCCTAGATATTTTCAATGTTCATTCATAATGGAACTCTAAAAATTCATAATTATTTTTAGCTCTTAAACTATTTTTTATATCATGCCAGTAATGACGTAAGGAATTAGGAAACTATAAGGCCATAGAACAAGAATAGAATAACTAATAATTGCTAATTCTATCTATGGAAATGCGTAATCTGTTTTGTTTACAAGCATAAAAGATAAATAACCTGAAATTAAACAAATGAAGTCTAATTGAGTTGCAAGCGGTGTAACGTTATCACAATATTTATTTTGAATCTAGAAGTTAAAGCCCCCAGTACACAATGGCCTGTGATGGGCCACGCTTTGCAATGCACAATTGTAGGCCACGATCACTTGGTGTTCACACAATGGCGTATGGCTCATTGCTGCCTGGCAAACCACTTGCGATGGACGTCGAAGTAATTACGGCTTCGGCTATTTATTTGTATACTGTTTACAAGTATTACAGAAGTGTGTACCGTCACAAGGTTGTTAAAGGAAATGGCGAAAAAGGCGATGGTGGATGTTGACCATTCATCGAAACAGGACAAGGTACGTAGATTTTTTAATGTGGTACTTAGGATATAATATTAATATTTAGAATGTTAACGTAAACAACTTGACTACTTAAGATTGTTTTTACCGTTTTCAGGCAATTCATGGACAATCTGTTAAGCGACCTTGTTGCAACACAACTATCCCGGTCAGCGGCCGGTGACGAACTAAACAATGGCCGATTGTGTAAACACCACAGGCCACGTTACGCCACGATTCCTTTGAAGTGTGCCCAAAAAACCGATAACTCTCCGATTGCGCGCCACGATGGACAACTGTCCGCCATCATATACCATTACCCCCTGTACACAATGGCGATGGCCTGTAGTGGGCACGAATGGGCCATTGTGTACTGGGGGCTTTAGACAAAACGCCCGTGAAGCAGTTTTCATTGCAAGCCCCGTAATACCTACCTGATTTAGTCTTTGTGAAGATTCGGCAGTGTTTTGCTAAATTTCTTTAACGTCCTATCCATATGTTTGTTCACGTCTTTAACTATGTCTTTCAGGACATCTAGAAAATATCCCAATAAAAATATTTTCAATACTCACTATAGATTTTGAGAAAAAATATTACCATTGACGAGAAAAGCCGACTTATATAAACTGTTTGTTAGTAATGCATAACCAAATTTACACCAAAACCACCCGAAACAGTATACAATATTTGTTATAAATTGCAATTAAAGCATCCTCACCAAATACTTATTTTTAGAAATTTATAACCTAAATATACACACACAATAATATTTATGTCATTGAGAATTTGATTACGAAATACAAAATGGCGATTGGCGGGATGAAAACTGTCATTAAACAAAAACCGTTTCGTTACTTATGTGATAATATAAAATTAAATACGTACGATAAAAAAAAAAACTAATATAATAATTTTCAACAATTATATATATGACCAGAATAAACGCCAACTAGATTTATGAATTACAATGACCTTTATTCGCATTTAGGGACGTTCTAATCGTACCTTAGTTACCAGACGCGGTGTCTTTTTTCTCATGACATTTTGGACATACGCTAGGGTTAGAAAGTGCACCCCTACATGCAGGGCCGTTAGCTAGAATTTACGATTTATAAGATCTTTTTAAATTTACGTAAATACACACTATATTACTGTTAATATAATTTAAACATCAAAACCTTTCTGTCAAGTTTTCTTCTATCAGTACAGACCAAAAATTATAGACCTCTGTCACTAACACGAGTTTAGTTTAAAATCTTTAAAAATCTATGTAGATCGTATTAACAAAGTTTCTTTAGAATAAACTATGTATTGGTAACCCTTAGTATACTTTCGCCGTGTCAAACTAAACACAGACAGTTAAGATTTTTTCATTCATAATAATTATTTTATTAATATACTTTGATACTATTACGTGTGCCGATATATGTAAACTGTCTATGTTTAATCTGATAACTCAAACTCATAGGACCATTTAAATTAACCGTAGATACCTTTTATGATACTATTTAACAAAATATACCACATTTCAAGGGGATATAGATTATAATGTATTGCAATACCCATACTATTTGTTACATCATTATTTGTAAGGGTTTTATATAGGAAATCTTTACCTGAACTGGCAATGTCATCGATGCGAGTATGGTGTTTCTGGTAGTAGGGGCGAATGATGCGATTGTAAATGATGAGTGAACCATTGTAATCGGTCGGCAAGTAACACCAGATGATGAAGATGCACTGAAAATAATTTTATTAATATACATTAGTACGAACTTAGCTTTATAAGAGTGAGAATCTAAGTTCATTATTAATTAAGTCAATAACTCAGATTTAAATTTTTATGACTTATAACAATTACACATCAATATTATGAAAAATGTTTTAAATAAATAAGAAAATATGTTTAATAAAAAATATATGTATATAAGGTTACATAATACTCATTAAATAACCACACATATGTTTTTTTTATAGTAATAATATTTAAACTTGAACAAAGGTCAAACTTTCACAACATTTCAATGTTATCTTGTTAAGTAAACAGAATGATAATGACACATATTTATTTCTCCCAAAAGGTTACAACGGTCGCACCCAAAAAAATAAATAAAATGTCACACACAAATAATCACTAAAATTATCAAAATATAAATGTTATGTAGTGTAACCATGAGTTAAAATATCTCACAGATTTTTTTCCCTAATAAAGTACTTTATTAAATTTACAATCTAGGCTATTGAGTAATAAGTAAATAAATTTCACCTAAATTACTACATAAAAATATGTTCTAAGAATGTGTCCAATAACATGAACTTAATCTTTGTCTCACTGAATAAAGATTATTTTTATTAATATAACTAAAAAGATATAGTTTGAAAAGTCAGTGGGTGCCTAGTGGTTAAAAGGCCCGCCTCTCATGCACGAGGGCGCGGGTTCGATCCTGGCAATGGCAAGTACCAATGTGACTTTTACGAGTCATATTATGATTAATGCATTCCCAAAGAGGGTTTAATGTCAGGCAGGCGGCAGGTAGTAAAAACAATTAGCCTAAACTATTCACAACATGTAAGGCAGATCCTGGCTAAAGCTGGGAAATTGCCAGGTAGGAGAAGAACTAAAAAGATATAGTTGGATAATTTATGAATGTATATCTGAGTCTAGTCATATGTTTAGTCGGATGGTGCTAACTGGTAAAAGCATTGTTTGTGAAAATTTAACTTATTTTACTGCAATTTATACAATCTTATCTCATGTGTAGTTATTTTTATCTCGTATGTGTACATAATAAAGATACCTGAAATATAAAACATTCAATAAAATGTGAAATATTTAACTTGGTTTATATAAAATCTTTTTTTACACTGACGAATATTCAATCATATAGAACCTCTTTTTTTGACTTATTCTTGACAATGAATTTATATCACCATCATCGGCCTATCAGAGCCCACTGCTGAGCAAAGGCCTCTTCTCACATGGAGAAGGTAAGAGCATTAATCACCTTTCTTGCTCAAGACGGGTTGGCGATTTCAAACTTATAATTGTGAAATTATAAGTCCAGGTTTCCTCACTATGTTTTCCATCATCATCTGTCAATAGTCTAAATACTCTTAGAAAGTACATACATATGACTCGGAAAAAATCACATTGGTACTCGCCAGGTTTCAAACCCACGCCCTCGTGCATGAGAAGCGGGCCTTTAACCTCATATATTCATCCAAATAATAATTACATCATGGAACTTTATAATATCAAGTATGAAAATGAACAATAGTATTCAGTTTTGACATAAAAATGTTTGTTTCACTATAGTTGTACTAGTTGAATCCTTGACGAAAACAATGCATCTATTTGTTACTCTCAACTAATTGTAGTTGTAATTAGTTATCTATTAGTGTATTTACTCTGATAACGTCTACTTATCAGAAATGACTACTAAACTTTTCCCACAATTTTTAATGCAATATTGATTTATTATTTAAATTAATTTCAATATACATAAAATATTTATATTTTATGCTAGTATAAATTAACATGGAAATCTATTCTTAGAATTGATTTCAATTTGATTATTAAAGATAAAAGTGGAATATTACAAGATAGATAATGTGTATCCTTATGATAATGCAAGATATAGGATACAGACTTATTAACTTATATTAAAAAAGTACTAAAGTATGCAAAAAGAGGTATAATATATATTTTTTTATTAAATTGAAATACTTATATAAAAATAACTTGATGAATCGAGTAGATTCAGTTAATTGTCTAGAAAATTTGTAAATTTCTTTATTTTAAAATGTAATTTAAATATAAATTTGTTCATAATAATAAGATAATGATTTACATGATATACAGTATCATAATTAGCTTATAGTTTTATTTTTGTGACAAGCCCAATGAGACGACAAAACCTCTCAGCATTACATGGATTCACCCTATGGGTGCCAGTAAGTAAATATAAATTAAATACAAAATCATTACTTCTATAGCCCTCAGCTTTATTATATAGGTATATGTTAAGAACTTGAATAAGATTGAATATTGTTCTATTCATAAAACTATACTTGGGCTTGTATTACTGATTAGATCTTTTCACAAGATTGCATAATGTGATAATCTCTTAATAGAAAATGTATAGCAGTTCTTATCTCTAAATCAGAATCAAGTATAGACATTTATATCAATTTTATGTTAATGCAATTTTAATTAATGGTCTGAATTAACATACATTTTTTTTATATTACTTTTCATCATTCCGTAGTTATGACTCGATTTATTCTTTAATTATAGATAATTACAGCATGCAGTAATACATGTGTTACCAACCTTGATGAGCCAGTAAAGTGGGAACCAGCCAACGATGAAGTCGGAGAAATATTCGACAACGGAGAAGCAAGCGTAGACTACCCAGTAGGTCAGCCATTTAGTGTCGTCATCTTTCACAGGAGACTCGAGGGCCTTCATCGACATATACGCCGGATAGACAAAGCCAATCGAGTTACATATCAACTCAGCGCCGAAACCAAACACTAAATATAAACCGGTGAATGCCACCAAACCTGCCACGAGAAATTAACGTCAAACTAACAGCTTAAGTTATTAATAAACTCAATATGAATCAAGCTTACCGACGAACAGATAGACTCTGTTAACTCCCGTCTTTGATTCCGCTTTCTCGAAGAATTTTGTCCACGGTTTGCTCTTGTCCATTAAGTTACGCTCCAACGTATCTCTGTACTCTTGTAATTTTGAAGCCATTTTGGTGGTTCTGTTGGTCCGGTAACTATTGAAATCTATTTGGCACCCCAACGAGTCCTACGACCGCGACTCATTGACAAATTGACAATGACCAACATGTCAGCTTGATGACAATGGCGGAGTTTTAATATTGCCATATTCAAATTTAAATGGACATATTTTAATATAATGTAAAGTTTCATCTCCAAGCTAAGTAAAAAGAATCCAACATTATTAATTAAGAACACTAGAATGACGCTTATAAAGGAAGATGAATCCATTAGGAAATAACATCTTGAATAAATTTTACAAAGTCCACAAAATAGACTAAAGATTTGACTTATAGTTTCCATTGTTATATTTTCGGTTTTCAGTTATAAAGATGTGAGTAAAAAAGCCATAATATATTTACCAGTGGTTAAATGCTAAATACATAGGTGTTTCTCCGTAAGATTAAGTTTATATCAAATAAACCAGTGAAGCTTAAGGAGCGATGTTATATTTTCAAATAATATTTTTTTAAACTGCGTGTTTCTAACAATTTGTATTTCTAATATTTTATCACAATCGACAATGCGGATAACATATAAATGTCAAAAAATCACTTTGTATACCGGAATTTAATTTATTACGATTATTTGTAAATTTACTATAAAATAAAAATTTCATTGATTGCAATGTTGAATATAAATATTTGGATCCAAAATCATTAAAACTTAGTCCTCCTATTAATGATTTATCATTGAAACATACATTTGTATATAAAAGATATTCGAAATATCCTTTCTCTCTACTCAATATGAAATCATATCAGGTAAGGAAATAAAACAAATAATAATGATATTTTTTAATTTTAAAATATGAAAAGCGTTAACATTGGTTATCACCGTCTTTTTTTAAAAGTAAATACAAGGTATGGAACGCAACGAACTATTATAGTGAAGACAATTTTTTTAATTTACGGAAAATAATAACAAATATTTCAATAGAATCTAAGTTAAAATATATTCAACATTTTCATGACAGAACACAGAAATAAAAGTATAATTTAAAACAATAAATGCAAAATTGGAAGACTCCTTTTCTGCAGAACAAATACAAGAATGGCTATTATTAGTAATGTGTAACCAATTATATCACAATTTTAGCTAGCGAATAACAATATATATAAAATGTGCATTGTGTGTACATTTAGCGAAAATAGTGCTTTTAGACGTGCTACATGCTGTACTAAAATAATTTTTATTATTAATTGAGGAACTCATCATAGAGTGACTAGATTTTTATATCAAAATAATAGTATTAAGAAATTAATGACTATATTAGTTTTAAGTTTACAAGAATTAATTATAGAGACTTTGATTATTAAATAAACATTTTCAAAAATATATTTCTTACAAAATTTATTATTATTAAGTGTTTAATTTTACAATGTTATTTATGCAATTTCAACAAGAGAAATTCTTATATGGCTGGTAGTGAGGAAAGCAATTTATTAAAAAAGAAATAGTTTTATTAGAAATAAGTTATTCTTTTAGTTGATATGAATTTGATAAATATAAATAATTTTGTTAAGGATTTTATAAAGTTACATTAATGCTTTAGTAATATTATATGAAAGCTCAAATTTATAGACAAATATTTAACATTTTATCTGTTTAAAACTAGAATTTTGAATAAATAAGTTTTAATATAACAGCTATTTAATGAGATTGGTCTCAGTCTTAACTATTGTGGTATATTTTATCCAATAAAGAAAAGGTATCACCTTTTACAAAACAATTCTAGTAAAAAATTCTAGCTAGTATAATACTATAACCACTATAATATCATTTTTGTTATTTTTTTAACAGTAAATGCTTTATGATAACTTAAAGCATTGACACTAGGTTATACTAATTGTTCATGTTAATAGTATTTCTAGCGACACTATCTTCAATCTTTGATGAAATACATAAATTATAGAAAAAAAAAGAAAAAAGTAAGATCTATAAATCACAGATTAGAAATTAGTTGAATTCTCTATTGAAAAATATTGTCATATACGAAAGAATGCCGTTGGTAAAAATATAACTCAAGACTAACTTTTATGATAAATCCAAAAAGACTATACATGTATGTAGTTATAGGAAGAACAAAAATACAATGTCGTATTTACATGTCAATTTTGTTATTACAATAACAGAACTTCTAATGGACGTAAAAACAGGTACATTATATTACTAACAGATTTAAATACGGCGTTTTCTATCACATTATAATTTTTAATTATGGCAACACTCATTATTGCCTCCAATAAGACATGAAAAAATTAACATCTTAAAATTAAGCAACGGTTTAACTAATATAAACGTTTACATAATCTAAGCGAAATATCATAATTGTGTTTTTAAATGGAATATAAATTTTAATGTTACGATGATTTGTGCTTTTTCCTTGCGTCTCGTCTTGTGTCACTCGACGGTTGAGGTTTGATTTCTCTAACGTCTAACTGGAAAAGAAATTTGAACGTAAAGTAATAATTCATTTGTTATTGTAGTACTGTAAAAGGAATGAAAACATTTTTATTTAAACAGTGTCCAAAATTTTTGTTAATTATAATTACTATGCATAATATTTTACAAAGATCGAGAAGTATATTTTCTTTTTCGATTTTATTTTATCCCTGAATATTGTCATTACAATTTGATGCTCGTATATTTAAATTATTCTTACTAATATCTCGTCATCTGGCACTCTCGACAAGAGGTCGATGACCTCATTATTTGGTATTGTGTGTGGCCGGAGTATCTTCCTTGTAAATTTGTTTATACCTGAAAAAGTATTATTTGATAATCATTAACTTATACATCACAATTAATATACAATAATAAGACAATACATATATATGGCATAATAATTAGCATTATTGTTTTATTAGAACTTTATATAAAAAAAAATATACACGTGAAAAGAATGAGAATTGAGAAAAAGAATTTTTAGGCTTTTATCTAAATTGAATGAATATATTATAATCCGTAAGTGCATTTCGCAGTACGTTATATGCGAAATGGTAGTACATGACTCCAACCACGAGCTCTCATTGTCAGACTAAATACTATTTCGAGTTTTACTACTAGTACTACAGCTTATAATATGAATTCGAGTTTTCTTATATCTACGTTGCTACTATAATATAAATGTATATGAGAAAAACTGAAAGTTTCTGTGTTTAGTTTTACTATGTACGCTTACGTTAAAGTTATAGTACTCACCCCAAGCCATAAGAAGATATCTTAAAGGTATCAAGTACAGCACAAACATAGCTCCGAATAGCATGATAATAGCTATGTAACTTAGATACGGCACTGTGAAGTTCATAAGGCTGAAAAATATTTAATAATATATTATAATAATTCCACGATTATTATTATTAAAGCAATTTTGAATTGATAGTATAATTAAGATTGGTACATAAAGGAAATATATCATCATCATCCTATCAGAGCCCACTGCTGAGCAAGGCCTCTTCTCACATGGAGAAGGTTTGAGCATTAATCACCACGCTTGCGTGAAACAGGTTGGTGATTTCAAACTTATAATTGGAATTTATAAGTGTAGAATGAAAAATTCGTCGACAAAATCAGGATTCGAACCTCCATACATATATGTATATATTATTTGAATTTATTTTCAAATGATAATTTTAAAAATGGGACTACATTAATCTTACTTCTTAACAGCTTCACCCAACGAAGCGACGTATCCAATAGCGTTTTGAACCGTTTGTGTGACTTCTTGTATAGCTTGCAGTCTTTCTTTAAGAGATTTCTTTTCCTCCTAAAATAAAATGAGATGAAATGATATCATAATTAAATAGACATTGGAATTAATTAAAATAGTGTTAAAGGTTAATTTAATATGAGAAGAAACTTCTTAGCATTCAATGTATTCACGGTACGGTTATCGAGTCCATCGTTACAAAGAGGAGCCTCAACAGTGACTGGGACTTGTGACCTAGGTGTAGGTTTAAGGGCCCCTATCTAACGCACGTTAAACGCTCACTATATTATCTTATTTACATTTGTATAAAAAGTATTTCTAACCATAATCGTATAAAAGGAAATATATACAAAATACTACTTAATACTTAATTCCTATTTTTAATATAACAAAACCATGTTACTGAGTCTTCGACTCGTCTCGCCTTAACGTAATTGCGGGTAGGACTTAGCTACAGTTTGTTAGCCCATACAATTGAAATCGTGGCCCATACAATTATGAACCTTATCAGCTTTGAATACATTTGTTTTTTCTTTGAAATCTTTATCTCATATTAAATTATATGTCACCTTATCTACTTCTTCCTCATCATCTTCTTCAGCAAGTAAATCGTCATCATCTACCGGTTGTAATAATGGGTTCCCATCTAAAAATATTTTAAATATAATTAACTATATAATATATATATATATATACAGGGTGACTGGTGAATTACTATCGATATTTGAGGACGTGATATTTGACGATCATATATGACAAAATAAAAATTAATATAACATAAATATTAATAAACTTCTAAGTAAAGTTAACCAAAAGTTATGTAATTAATTACGCATCGTGTGAACACCCTACAGATTAGGTATACACTCACACTCACACATACGCGTGTCGCGACGTGGTGTTGTATCAGCACGCCACCGCACGCGCCCACACTTGAACACTTGGAACGTGTCAACACTTTACTTATTTATACGGAAATTTTGTCAAAAATTAAGTGCCTATTTTTTTTACATAATTCGAATGAGAATCATGTACCGAGTATTCTCCTTAAATATTGATAGTATTTCACCAGTCACCCTGTATATATAATTAATAATCATTTTAGCATAATAGTTATGATTCAGAACTATTATTATAAAAAAAATGATTGTTATTTGAATATAACAATTTTTATTTTGGGGGTAGTTAACAATTATCAGTATTATAAAACTTTAGTTATATGAATAAATGAATAGATTTAGAATGTTAAACGATTTCCAGTCTATGTTTTGTGGTGTGTAGAAAACGAAATTAACAAAAGGTGCAAAATTTAAACATATATAAGCATTTGATAAGTGTTTTATAATTGTGAATTTCGTTATAAACGTACATGCAACGAACAACAACTATTCTGACTTACTAGTACTACCAAACAAAATTTTAAAACACTCCCAAGGATTACTTCGAAAATGTTTCAACGCAACTAAAAGAAATATATAATGATTAAAAAGACACTACGTATTTTATTGATTCTTCTATGTTTATTATGAGGGCAAATAAGTATTTTAAATTAAAGCAATTTTGAGTTGATACTTGAAGTAAAATTGAAAATATCTAATGAGAGATTCCTTAGACGTGGAAAATTTCAATCTGTATACTACGGAATAAAGCGTTTTTCCACTTTCTTTGAGATTAAAATCATTCTATATTTACGTTTTCAATTTTACTTGAAAAAAAATACTACTACTAGATCTTTCTACGTATAAAGGTAAATAAATAATCAATAACTATGACAAAAAAATCAAGCGCAATTATAAATTATTTTAAATTTCAAGACACCTTCCTTACTTTCTAATAATGTTGACACATTAATAAAATTTAACAGTGAATAGATGAATTAGATTGGAATTAAAATTAGTACTTAATAAAAACTACTTTATCTATTGACCAAATAGAACTAAATATCAAATCATCAACAGACCTTTGTATTGATCAATAATAATAATAATAATCTATCAATTATTACGTACCAGTCAATCTATAAACGAGCCAATTCCTCGCGAAAAACATTAGCATAAGAAAAGGTAGCATCCACATTTGGTAGTAGTAGCAAAAAGCGAGCCAGACTGCTAGACCAGCTAAAGATCGTACTCTTGATTCCCATTCAAAGCAGTTCCTGAAAATATTAAAATTAAGTTAATATAACATAAATATTGTAAATAGTTACTGGTTGCCAATTTTTTTTTTAATTCTTAAAGCGATATATACATACGTATATATAACCTCTTTTAAAATCATTTGTTTTTATTATTATTAATCCTCCTTTATATGATATAACTGGCTGTTTTTAAATAAGAACTACCCACGAGGTATTATATAAATATATTTAATTCATCTATAACTAAAAATAATCAGATGAAACTAATATTTTCGGATTTTACTTCGCGTTTTATTTTAGAAACTACATACTCCCGACGTTTCGGCTACTTTTCAGCAACCGTGACCACGGGCAGACGAGATGTGAGTGTCTGTCAGTTGGTCTGGTCATTTTATCTCCTACCGCCATCGATTTCTTAATTAGTTTATTAGTTTCATTTAAATGTGTACTCGCGAAAATCTTAGATCTCATTAAAAATAATCAGATTGCCAAAAGCAGCTAGAATAAATGTCTCAATTAAATACTATTAAATTGTATGCATTTAAGGAAGTCTCAATAGAATGCATAGCCTTCACTTAAAACTTGTACTATGAAATGGTATGAAAAATATTCAATTTAAAATGCTCAAGATTTTCAAATAGCCGAAGTTTGTACCTGACGTCAAAGTGCATTGAAATACGTTCCAATTTCTGGATATATAAATATTTCAAGACATTTTTACGTTTGGCTTAACTTACAAATTGCATCGTGGTGCATGATATTGATATTTAAGCAAAAATTCTCTCTAAACTATTGAAAAAAGTTATTGGATTCGATATTTGATTGATTTATACAAATTATATATAACTCGTTCGGTAATAATTTTGGTAAAAAAAATATATATACATACTAGAAGACCCAGCGAACTTCGTATCGCCCTATAATCAAGAAATATCTATTACGTTTTTATTTATATTTTTGGAGTTTACCTTCTAAATCTCCGTGTTTTGAAGGGCGACAGAATGATTGACATATTAGTTAGTTGTCAAATCTAATGCCAAAAAAAAAAGTTTTAAAAATTAATTAAAAAAACATTGTCCAGAGGCCAAAAATTATGAATCTAAACCATTCCCAGATCCCCTTGAACACACACAAAAAATTCATCAAAATCGGTCCATACGTTTGAGAGAAGTTGAGTGACATACACACTCACAGAAGAATTATATATACATATAAAGATATAATTAACCTTAAAAAATCTTAATACCTTTGTCGTATCAATTTTTCTGGTTAATATGACGATTATCTCAATATACTTACTGTAGAATTTTTCCAACTTCTATGAACCACATAATTATAGCTTTCAATCTCATTACATTACGAATAAATAGTTGTCTTTTGAATTTGGCCTCTTGATACATATACTTTGCTTCTTTAGGATTTACTACACGTATTGCTGCTTTAAGCTGGGGATAAAAATGAGATAAGAAATTTAATAGAATTTTTGGTTTGTGGCACACTAAAATATATTTTTTCTACTAGCTAAACGGATAGATCTGTTTTGATCTTTCTAAAATCAAAATACATATTTATATTAAGTGGTAAAAAACTGCTTTTAATCCTAAATGAAACTAATATTATTTTAATTACTAAGCGTATTTTATTATTATAGAACTACATACTCCCGAGGTTTGGGTTATTTTTCATCAACCGTAATCACGGACAGACGAAATGTCTGTCAGTTGGTCCTAATTTTGTCATGATAAGATTATTAGTTTCATTTAAATGAATACTTGCGAAAGTCTTAGATCTCATATTGCTTTTAAACGTAATAAAGGAAAGGAAAGTTTTATATTTTCATAATTATTATTACAAAAGGTAATCAGCAAGCTTGAATGTTTAAAAAAAAGAGACTATAAAAGTAGGTTTCGAGTTTAGACAACAAATAATTAAGGTTTTCGATATTATCCCTACTAATATTATAAATGAGAAAGTAACTCTGTCTATCTGTCTGTTATGCTTTCACGCCTAAACCACTGAAATGATTTTAATGAAATTTGTTACAGACACAGAGTTGACTTTGAAAAAGAACATAGGATAGTTTTTATCCCAGACTTTTGAAAGGTTCTCTTGGAAACGCTATATAACGGAACTCCACGCGGGTTAAGCTGCGGGCGGAAAGCTAGTATTAAATATTTTAGACTCGTAACAGTTCTTACCGGGTTCCATATAACATTCATCTCCAACAGTATCTGCGGGTAGTTTCCTTTAGCTCTGGCCCTCATCTTCTTGTCTTTCAAAGCGAACCAGCGCTTCTCCCCGTTTCGTATACTAAGTAACGGTATCGCTAACTTTCCCAAAAACTCTACTTTATGGTCATGATCCTCGTCGTATACTGTTATTTCTAGATTTGAACTTATGTCTTTCACTGTGCTGAAAGAATATTAAATTGTATATATTTAAAATATTGTGTTCGTTATGGTTATTTTTACAAAGATTGAAATTCACTTTTTTGTTTCAACAAAGTTTTAAATTGTAACCAATATATTACAAAAATATTAACATGTTTATGTATGTATAGAATTATTATATATTTTTATTAGGGACAGAAATAAATTTGCATTTCGATGCCAATTTTAATGATTTCTCCAACAGAACCAATTTTGTCATAAAATGAATTATTGACACAAATATAATTGAATCGACGACTAAATTACGTAATTATTGCTGAGCTAAAATTTTGTGGCGGACTGTTGAATTTAAAACGTTTCATATTTATAATCGTAGGTAAAAGTGAGAGCAGAAATGTTATGTTAAATACCCAATTAAAATTAAAATCAATATGTTACTCTATAAAAAATATAGTATTGTACGTGTTCCATTAACTTACAATGTAAATATCTTCATCCAATTCGGATTTAAAGTCTTATATTCTGTGTGCGTCTGTAATCTCGCGTTACCCAATTCTATAACACAGAAGGGGTCAGACTTTCCTCCTAAATCAGCGGCCGCTAGACCCTTGGCTCCGTAGACTTTCACACATAACCATCCAACGCCGCTTGAATTTTCGTTGAGACGGTACCATGCCTGCAAAAAAGACGGTAGTTTATAAAATGTTATGTTGACACTATAAGATAAAAACATTCTTAATTAGGTAATAAATCATTTATTTCTTTACAAGCGTAGATAGTTGTAATTGAAATAGGTGACGTCAGACAAATATAAAAAACAACACTATCACTTCTAAAGTTTTTTCTTTTTGGAAAGTAATACATCTGGCTATAAATACTGTTATAATAGTTCTTTGCATTTACTAGAATCATGTCGTCCACTTAAAAAGATGACTTAGGACTTCTAAATGACATATTGGTTTTCGTAACTGTTAGTTTAAAAATTATTTGGATGGGTTAAAAATTAATTACCTAATAAAACAAAACTTAACGGAGGTTTAAGGGTCACCGAAAATTTTTCTTAATAATTGAGAATATTTTTACAACTGAGTAATATTTAACAAACAAAATGACCTTATTCATGTTCAAAATTCTAAAGAATTTTCGTAATTAGTTCACATATTAAAACGTAGCCTAATTTCCGACTTCATTGTTGGGTTGGTGAGGTTTTAGCCATGAAAACTGCCTTATTTTGGTAAAAAGTTGTCAAAAAAACCTTACAAGTTTATCAAGATCTTGAGACTCTAAACAAAATCACGTTCGATAACAGAGAAGGGTCCTTTTAGCTAGGCGTAGGGTCAGGCCATAAAACTCGAGCTACCTAAACTTGTTTAGAAGCGTACGTTTAGGACTTCATTACATCTGAAGCCTGGCAAACATCTACTTCCGATGTTAATCTACTATATTATGATTCAATATTAGTTTTTGAGAATAAGTCTTGCTATAAACGACATGATAATCTTGAGTTTTTAACACAGTCATATGATTGGTAATGAAGAACTTCCTCAAAGAGAGTGCGAGCTGGTCTAGGTAATTGGAGCCAACGTTTAAAGCATAATTCAGCCAATGAAAATAACTTCATTTGTTTATGGTTTTATCTTAATGTATTTAAATACCACACTGTAATAGTAATTAATGTTAGGAACGAAAAAAGTTTTTCTTTGTCATAATATTTATGGTAAGATTAAGTATACCCCATGTGATCTTAAGACCTTTAAAGAATTGAGAAATAAATTTTCAAAGTCGTTTAAGATTCAAAGCGCGAAAGAATATAAATCTATTTAACGAAAAATGTATTTTAAGGGTATACTTGCATTATTGAGTTGATTATTTCGATTAGATTATTTAATTTCACTTTAAGAAATTGATGAATTTTCCTTATTACCATAGACAGGGTGACTGGTGAATTACTATCGATATTTGAGGACGTGATATTTGACGATCATATATGACGAAATAAAAATTAATATAACATAAATATTAATAAACTTCTAAGTAAAGTTAACCAAAAGTTGTGTAATTAATTACGCATCGTATGAACACCCTACAGATTACTCTACACTACACACTCACACATACGCGTGCGGCGGCGTGTTGTTGTATTAGCACGCCGCCGCACGCGTCCACACTAGGAACACTTGGAACGTGTACACACTTTATTTATTTATACGGAAATTTGGTCAAAAATTAAGTACCTATTTTTTTTACATAATTCGAATGAGAATCATATACCGAGTATGCTCCTTAAATATTGATAGTACATAATTCACCAGTCACCCTGTATATCTTAGTCGTTTATTAGGTATTCATCAAATTTACAGGAAGGTTCTATAAAGTCTTTAAAATTTACTTTGTGCTGCCTAAACGGAATTACTAACTTTGATGTTAAAACAAAAGTTTCGAATATAACTTATAAACATGAATATCATAATATCATCATATCATAATCATTGTGCATATTTTTTAAAAAGAGTCTATTTTTTGAAATTACAATGGTGACGTATACTGAATATGGGTGATGTTACAGATGCTAGTATTGGCGATACTCTGCCATGAAGTGGCAATGAACTAAAGAAATTATCCATATTCTGTCGTTTCACAGTCTTTCTCGTCAATGTTTGATATTGTTAATATAACAAATATGTCGTAATTATCTGCTTAGGTCCTAAGCTGTAATATATAACAGGAATGTTCCCCTATACATTATTCCCAAAAGAGGGTTGATGTCAGGCAGGCGGGCCGGTCGTAAAAACAAATAGCCAAACTTTTCACAACCTGTAAGGCAGATCCTGGCTATAGCTGGGAAATTGCCAGGTAGAAGAAGAAGAAGTTCCGCTATACATTAATACAAAATAAATAATAGCATCCACCAAGATTTACAGTCTTTACTCGATTACGGTGTCAATGTTTGACCTTTCTTGACTTTTGAATTCATTTCAAGTTAATCAATTTTGATGTCACCCACCTAGGCCTACGAATAACTGTGACCTGGTTTTCAATGGAACTGTTTCTGATCACCATTCATCATTCATTATCTTTCCATGCTTTTAACCTTCAACGAAGTATGCTTATACCGACATTTCCAGAAGAGAAACAATGACGTTATAAGACTTCTACGTACAGTATAGTACGGTAACCATATACATTATTTATGTAGCGATAAAAGAATAGTAAAACTAATATTCAATGATAACACTATAAATCAAGATTTTATTTTTTATCTGCTATTGAAACAAACGAATTGAACAATAAAGGTAGATGAAATAAATTATTCAAGAAATACGAAAATCAAACACAAGCCCACTTAGAAATACATATGTATATGTAGATAAGGATTAAAAATTCGAGTCAAAAACACCAGATTACTTAAGAAAAAAATGCAAGAAAATATAAATTTCATGTTTAAAGTCATACGAAAAAAGATATGATCATTATTAATGAATATGCTTATAAAAATCATATCAATTGGTGCACTGTATTAAAAATGTACCGTTTTAATTGAATAAGAATCTTCTAATACATATATAATTACGATAAAATAATTCAACGTTAAAAATATAATAAATCGATTTTATATGTAAACAATAAACAATTAGCTGCAACAGGACAGATATAGCCATTTAACAAAAAAAGGAGGTAGGTATTGGCAGCATTCCAATCGCTATCAAAGAGATCGTGCCTTTGATATTACTGAACACACGGGCTGTACGAGTATACTAAAGTATGTATGACGTGCAATGAAAGACGATTTCGCAAAGAATTCTTTAACTAGGTCAAGATTAACTTAAAAAATAAACTCTTTTTGTACTATAATTAGGTTTTAAGTTACATAGAAACAATTAAGGTGTTTCTTACCTATTCCTTAATGAGTTTGTTTTTATACTGTAACCTAATTACTCTCGCTGTTAAATTCAGCTACTGAGTTGTGTGATGATAAATTGTATTATTCAATTTAAGCGAAACAAAAAACAGTGAATGCTTTAATAATGGAGTATTATGAAATTATTCCTGTCATGTTTTCGTTGATAAAAAACTAGATGTTCATACATATACTTTTGGCAAAGGAAAGTTATTAAGAATTGTTTATGTCTCATATACCTTTGTTTATAGATTTAGAATATATTAAATATAGGCACGTTTGAATGAAATAATTAGAATATAATTTACTTACGTATCTGTTTTCAATAATTTCGATATCCCTCGGATTCTCTCTATAGCTGGCTAGATCAGTTATAGTCTCGGATTGCGTGGTGCCACTTATGGTTAAAAGAAGAAATATTTGGCCATTACCATCTTCTAGTTCCCGCCAGATATTGTGAGTCTTCTCTCTTTCTAATGTAGATAAGTCTATGGTACATCTAAAAACAATAATAAAATTAAACGAAATTTTGAATTGATACTTTGAGTATAATCTGAACATTAATAAGTTTGAATTAGTTACATACATAAAAAAATATTTTTATAAGCTTTGAACATAATAATATAAACTAATATTAACTTTCGTTATTTAAGAACCAGTTACCTAAATGAAACGAGTATTTTATTATTATAAAACTACATACTCCCGACGTTTCGGTTACTTTTCATCAACCGTAATCACGGGTAGACGAGATGTGAATTTAGTAATTCGAATAATATTAGTTTCATTTAAATGAATACTGACGAAAGCTTTAGATCTCATTATAAAGATTGTATTTTTATTATATGGTAATATAATTTTATTACCTTCCCAGGAAATCGTCTTTGGTTTGTTTATCTTTATCCCACACAGTCACTTCTAATATCTGTTCTTGATCATCGTAGAGGTGTAGATCGAACTGTTCCAACCATGACGGATGTAATGTTTTCCAAACTACCTTACTTTTATATTTTTCGTTACCTAACCTACATAAGAAATTAATTAATCAATTAATTTGGTAAACATATTGTATTTTTCTCCCAAAAAAGCAATATATTCATTCGTTTTTATATTAACATATTTTTCAACAAATTTAGGCCTTTTATAACAAGCTTGTACATTTTATGAGCACTTATCTTATTTAAAACGAAGCGTCTATTGCATTTCAATGCTTTTTTCAATAAAATAAGTAAATAATATATTAACTAACCTAAATTTACAATATGGATCGCTAGTTCTAGTGTCAATATCCATCGCCGGAAGATTTTTTGCTTCAACTAAAACTATCGTTACAACTGAACTCCATATTTGTGCTTTTAACCTCTTGTTAACATCGCTTAGCTTCGTGTTCTTTAAGAGGTACTGAAAAGAAATTATATTTAATTGAAATAATATATATTGCACATATATTTATACACTGGCACATATATAGTAATTTTAAGCAGGAAATAATTTAAAACACATTAGATACTCTCAGGTCTTAAACTAAATTGGAATTTGCTCGTTTGAAGGATTAAGCATTGCTGAAAAATGCAACACATAAAGCACATGTACAAGAATATATTATATACCAACACCAGTCATTTATTTTAGATTCGATTAATAGTAAATGACCACAAACCTAATGAAGTTAAAATATAATAATTCCACGGGAAACCGAGTCAAAGTGGTGGTAATTGAAAAACAAAATGTTAATTGATATTTCTATTTACATATACGTCCCATTATTTGTTACACGAGTATAGACATTTAAGATAAAACCGCAATATATTACAATAGCGTATTTTATTATCGTTACTAAATATTGTTAGTTTTAAAACCATTAGCAACAAATTAATCTAATAGCCCACAAGTTAGTTCTTTTAAACCGAAGTTAGTTAGTTAATTACACAACCACGTAACCCATACTACATTGCCGTATCGTCTGAATTGCGATAGTAGAACATATAACATAAATATTAACCATGCCACCACTTATATACCCTATGGATTCTGTCGCCTTTGCTCTTAAGTTTCGGGAATCTGTTGCCGATTCTCTCTATTAAGTCGCTACAAGTGTTGATAGCGGTGGGTAGGTCGAGGATATGAGTTGGTGGAAGACTTCCAGATCTTGGTCTTATCTCTATGCTTCTGTTGGGAAATATATCAAAAAACTGACATTAGATATGTTGGGTTTAAAAAACCTTCTGCTGTCAAGCATTTTATAAACTTTTTCAATTAAATATATGAAGTTTCGTTAAATGTTTGCGGGTAGTTATATAATATTGTGTTGTTGTATGTATTATAAATAAATACATACAATTATCATAAGTAAAATCCTTTGAAAGAAATTACTGCTAGTTAAAATTAATTGCCTTAACCTTCATAAATATGTACTAAGACAATGTTGAAATCATTTATTTTGTAAAGAAAATATATAGGAATGATCGTATTCAGTGTAAAGATTGCCTTTTTCTACGTGGAAATGTATAGATTGGATTCTATTATCATTCGGCCCACGTATTTGTTCTCGTAGTAATGTTTTTACCTATCCGCCTAACCCTTTTAACGATATGTTTATGTATATTCCAGATAAAGGCCAATCTTATCAAACATTGTCCGTTACTTAAATTTCTTGTTGATTTTTACTATTGATAAAGATATATGAGATTTTTATTATCTTATCATTGTATAAGATTTATATGTCTCACCGTTCATCACACGAAGATAGACACGAATCACTTGAACTGTAAATACTTGAGTTATCATCCAAAACTAGATTTGATGTTGACCGACATCTACGAGGTAGCAATCCATTCTTTTCAACAGTAAGAAAATCTTTACATACTTGTATAGGATTTTCATCCATAATACAATTGGTTCCATCTATGACAACCGAGGGTATTGATATTTGATCTTTAGTATCTGATTGTGATGTACTTTCATCATAATTATCGTCAGTAGAACTTCTATCGTTTGATATGTGTGAGACGAGTCTTGCTATTTTTGATTCAATTTTGTTTTGAAGCTGATCATTAATATCTTCGACACGATTCTGAAGTTTATCTTGGAGTCTAATTAATCTTTGTTTAAATCTTTCCATTTTATTGTCAGACATGTTGCCACTTAAAACAGATTTCTCTCTCTATTCTAAACACTAGTTTCTCAGTACTGCCATTTTCAAGGTACAATTTAGTATTAAAACTGCTCTATCTCAAGATTGTTTCCTAATTCATATAAACAATCTATTTCAGTATACCAGATTTATCTTATATTATTTTAAGAAACAATTGTTATGATTTCGTTTTCTTCGTACATCTGGCGTAACGTTAAATAATATATCTAAGACAAATTTTTGTACTTAGTTATTATTCATAAATATTATATGGAATATTTGTTTCAATATATATCGAATATGAAATTAGAGGTAGTGGTTCAGTATAGTAAATAATATATAAAGATTAATATAATATGTTTTTCACACTACCGTTACATTATTATTCGCAAAACACAATAATAAACAACAATTAATTAATTATTTATTTATAGCTTATTTCTTTTACTTTAACGTTTGAACATAATTTAAGTAGCAAGATATATTTTTTATATACATATTTAAATTACCATTTTAATATACAGATCTGGCTTTAAGATTCTTTATTCACTATTACATGTATTGTATTATTTTTCAATCGTTATCACTTTATCAGTACTATACTCATATAAAATAAATCACATATGTGCATCCATACTTCAAGATGTGCCTACATTTATCCCGTCATGTTTTTGGAGAACTGGTTTTGCGGTCAAAGAGTCAATTAACTGCATTGTCCAGTCTACAATGGCCTTGACTCAGTGTAACTGACGTCATCGCTGTTAAATCATGGGATTATACTGAGATAAAAACCATGGTTTAATATGAACATTATCTATTATGTTCACATAATTTTTTTGCATAAAACTATAGCTTATGCCTCATAAAATAAAGCAATATATAAGCGTGAATAATACTTTTAATGAGAAAAGAACAGCGTTTTATCTTTGCTATGGCCGTAACCTTTCCCGTTTCGGACAATTCGTTGATCAATATTGACTAGCCTTTTAGAGTATAAGCGAGACATCTGTATATATGTGAATGAAAATCTACACATTATTATATGATGTAATACGTACTCAGTACCATGACGATTGTTATAAATTGTGTAAATCTATTGTGAAGTAATCTTCAGAGTATGTGGTAAGCGAATGTTATAAAAAATTACCCTTTTTGGGTAAGATTCTGCTGTCTTAATGAAATTTTACATGTATAGAGGTAAATTACAATAATATTTAGTATACAATAATATATTATTCTCGGAATTGGTGTTAACGTTTGGAATAGTATCGTACATTTATTTATTTATCTGTTTTGCAAGCATGTACAAATATTGTTCTAAAGCTGAATGATAAGATACATTCTATATGAGCTATCCTTAAGGATTCTTAGGGTTGTAAAAGAAAAAAGCTTTGAAATATGGAAGAAAACTAAGTAAGATAAAAAAAAACAATTATTGAAAAAAAATGGAGAGATCGTGTGCGAAAATTATTATTCATTATAAAAATTAAGTTTTAAATTTTATATAGAAAAAAGGATTTATTATTATACATTATTATAAATTGTCATTATTAAAACAAAATTTTTGCTCGTTGTTTTTAAATATATCTTGTTAATGACAAGTTAAATTTTTGGACATATACCTAATTTCTTTGTTTTATTAATTAATACTTAGACATAAAGGATCAACGTGAAACAAGTCTTTAATATATTATTGGCTCAATTCCTTTTTAATGATTTACAGTAAATTATCAATTTATTTCAAATTATATATGTATATTAGTGACAAACTTTAATAAAAATAGTAAAATTATGTTGGATTTATCTTAAGTTCTGTACGGAATTTATTACCTACCGTTTGAGTTCTCTAAACTTTTTAAGTACCAGTGAGTTTAATTGAAATGCTAAGAAATTTAAAGTTGAGCCGAAATTTTACTGATAAAGTCAAGAACATGAATTTATCTCAAGGGACTAATGTCACTTAGAATAATGAAATTGTATCCATTAACATTTTGTTAAAACATCAACTTTTACTTAATAAACTCGCAATTCTACTGACATAAATGAGCGGATTTATATTATTTATCCTAAGATTTATCTTCAGAATAATATATTTGTGGTTTCAATTTATTCCTTATGAATTCAATCGTAATAAATCAATTAATTACGTTGACAATACCTTCATTAAAATGCGTAAATATGCAAAATGATTTGAAGTTTCCATTTTGATGTAAAATTTATAAAGTTATTAAATTGGAGACGAAAATTTTTATTTTAGCAAACACAACAAAAACCTGTTTAACTAACCAGAAATTTATTATCTAAAGATTAGAATAAAAGAATAAATGAAGACCATCAAATCTATTGACCCCCAAATTAATAAAACACTACCACTAATCAATGAATCTTTGAATATTACCTACTATGAAAATTTCTGCAAGGATATGGAAAACTCAATAATAATATGTCACTTATAATTATTGAATTATAATGTATAGTCATAATTGAATAAAAGAAACTGACAGAATTATCAAAGAACGATTTCACTATTAAATTCTTTTCGTGTCAAGACTATTTCTGTTGATAAACAATGCTTCCGTCACAACTGATAACAGAGTTCAAGTTTGTTAAACATTAATTAACATTAATTAGTATTTAATTAACATCGTCACGAGCTACTTGGAACGTTAACTGCAAATTTGATCATTGCCAATATTTACTAATAATTTGGTCATGGAAAGATGGATACGTGAAAATATTTTCAATTAATTGTTATAATATAAATTACCAAAGATTGCTTCTATTTTTGCTATTTCATTGATTGCTTAATATTGGTTCCCTCAATTCGTAATGTTAGATATTTTAAGCAATTATTGCCATTATTAGATAATGGATGAAAAAAGGAAGATGTTTAATTTTGTAAATAATAAATTAATGAATTAAATTAATAATTATAATAGATGAAAAAACAATAGTGCTTCATTCTGAACGTTGGTATTTGTTTATAATATAATGTTATAAATTATTAAAACCAATTTTTTATCTTTTCTCAATAACTTGCTATTTATTTATGTAAAGAAAAATTGTTTAAACATCGTCACAATACATAGGGCGCGTTAATTTTTTTCATTTATAAATCTTCGCACAAATGTAACGAAGGTTATTGAATGAGAAACGGGAAACGCTTCGTGATGATTCAAAATTTGGGCCATGCATACCGAATGCGATGCCAATTTATTGACCCACAAGCAAAAAACACGTAAACAATATATAGAAGACAGATATATAAAAACATAATTGATTTTTTTTAAATATAAAACCGATGAATTAAATAACAAAATCATTCCGTCGAAATTCGATATAGATTGTTTTTTGTCAGTTACTGACAGACGATAGAATACATTGACTTGATTTATGGCACTTCGATGGTGAGAGTTATAAAAAAACTTAAATCATACACATATAAAAACTATTTGCACTATACACAAACACTTTATAAACTTTCCCAAACTATTTCTGAATCCACGTTATATTTATTTATCTTCCGTGAATAGAGGTTAGTATGAAATTCGCGCAGACGCTCGATTCTCACGGCGTCGCAAACCAACTGGCGAATAGCAGTACTTAATGCTTGTAAGTGTATTGTGTAAGATTATAAATAATGCACAGACTTCAAATTTGATTTATATACGATAAACTTTGTAATTATTATTTACCGATACTTTTAAAGGTGTGTATAAGAAAAAGTATTAAAATGTGCGTATTAATGAATAAGAACAATTGTATTATGCTATGGTTCAACAACCTAGTATAGGAAAGGATACCATTATAATTGTTAAATCAAGACATTTGTATTCAAGATTCAATGACTATTATTCTATTAAAAAGATATTAATAATACATTCGGATTTATCATATCTATCGGCTTATTTAAGTAGCGAAAATTTATAAATATTAATCTGTATGAAATAAAAACATATATTTAAATAAATATATAAAGGTAGAAAACGTAACTTTATATAACCTTGTAATGCAATAATATTATAATCAAGATAAAATACCATTAAAGCTATACCTAAAGGTAATAAATATTCAACTATTTATATAGATATTATTGTAATTTATAAATCACAATTCAATTGAATTGCAAAAATTAATTATGGAATAAATTTAGCATCATAGACTAGTCTAGTACAGTTTGGTTGATAAAAAACTCAAGATTTCGTAATTATTAGACCTTTTTAAAGAAATATGAGAGCCGAAAATTGAAAACTAGGTAAAAAGTAATGAAGATGACGAAAAATATTATAGCATTATGTGGTTAATTCTGGTGATACATCACTTAATAAGTTTCGTTTTCCTTACCCTGTTTAATAGTAATGCTAAAATTCCATATTCTATTTAATACCCAAAGAAATTACTTTGTACGATGCGTTTTATGGCCTCAGAATAAAAGGTTTAAATTTGTTTGCACTATAAACTATTGAAAGGGCGTTACTCATTCTTAATAAGTTTACGTTATTTCTGAAAAGTTGACATGTCAATTATTTTATCACTAAAATGATTCACGAGTACGACAAACTGAGCAAGATTTTTATTAAATACTAAGGTATGAAGTACGATGGAATAAAGAAATATAATCGTTCCACGATTTAGATAATTTGGTTTTATTTCAATTATTTCTTAAAAGATTTTCTTCGCGATTTCGCTGACTCATTTATATATCATTTGTTGCTAGTCCCAAGTATAATAATTATAATGAGTAATCTCTACTTAATAATAACAGATTAAAATTATGATCAGTTTTATAACTATTTAGTTTAAATTTTTTTTCATATTTAAGTTAGTTTAATTTTTTTCCAATTTGAATAATTCGAAAATATATCACCGTCTAGATATATGTATAAAAAAATATAATATAAAAAGGTAATTAATTGCCAAACCAAGAATGTCAGATTTATTTATATGTTGCATAATATAAATGATTTTTGTAAACTTTAGTGGAAAATGTAGTGTTCTTTGAAGTTTGCTCTAACTACCATTGATTTAGAGAGCCAAAAAACAGAAATGTTGGTCTTTATTTTTTCAACTAAAATTTTCATGTAAAATCATAAAATGACGATGTTCTATCTCTATTCACTGACCGCCAAAAAAACCTTAAAGTGCCCTCAAAACTTATCATCTTTTATAAATCAACGTTCATCTCATTTATGGGATGCAGAGAATCTAAATTTATCATATTTTGGCCATTTTATCAGAAAATTTCCAGATTTGAGTACTGAATAATTAAAAGCTGATATTTTCCATGGGCCAAAAATAAAAAATCAATTTATAATTTGAAGATGAATCTTTTATAGAAGTTGTAAAAGTTGGTTGAGAAATAAAATGGTTGAAATTTGAGAGGAATTAGTTAAAGACCATTTAATAAGGTTTTAATATCTTGGATTAGATTACAAAACTTTATTGAAAAACTTGGGTCTCTTAAAGGAATGAGAGAAATGTTTCTGAAAACTCAGAAGAAAGGGAAGATATACATATACGAAGATCGTTGAGATGAATATATGTTGTCAGATTATTGATGGAGTTTTAAACATGTATGTTCCGAGGGACTCTAATAAATAAATATAATTTTCTCGCTACTAAAATCTGAATATACGGCACATAAGAATATAATCGACGTATCGTATACAATTAAAAGTAGTTCTAGTGTCGACAGTAGTAAAATATACAATCGAATGCTTAAAATATGTTAAAAAAAATAAAACTAAACAATTCTCAAGCCGAATATATGCAAATTATAATGATATAAGGCCTAATTCTTTTTCTACAGCAACTTTATATTAACCATTTTGATATAAATTTATACTGTTATACAGTAATATGTACTTGTGGCTAATGGGTTAGGAAAAGCATGTGGAGCGTAAAATTGAATCTGCCAATGTGGTAGTTACTTGCAAGTTACTTGTAGGATGTCATATATGACCTAATTAAAAACAGAGTGATTGTCCAAATCTGATTTATTGATGATTAGAAGATGAACAGGGAGATTTCAGTTTTAGGAAATTACATATGAAATAATTCCCGTTTCTTATACTTTTATATGCAAATATTTAGAAATGAAAAACGATTAGCGCACTGTATGTAGTGTGACGATGGAAAATTGGGGTAAATATACTGTAATTATGATATCACGAATAATTTTAAAGTAAGTAATTGGGTGATTTTTAACTGAAATTCTAGTACATAGGTCATTTTTATTCTCTTTTTCAAATTAACACAATTATGAAGTAATCGAAATGTAAGTTGATCAGATAAATAATTGTAAACGATATCAATTTACAAATTGCTTAAAAGAAATTAAAATTTTATCGTCGGTCTCTCAAACAATAAGCAAGAAATAAATCAATGATTAGAAAATACGATTATGTATTGATAAAATTATATAGTTTAAACAAGCTCTTACAATTGAAAATTTATTCTTTTGAATATTTATGTCTTATTTTTTATTCAAACTTTGCTTTTACTGAATGAAACCCGCTGAGCATAAAAATGTTCCATTTGCATTGAGCAGGTGCTAGAAAGCCTTTTGTTCATATGTTTTTGTGAAGGTACCTTTTTAGGCTTATACCACAGACAAAAAACTGAGGTTACATTGAAATAAATCATTATACACACACACACACACACACACATATATATATATATATATATATATATATATATATATATATATATATATATATATATATATATGTGCATATATCCATATGTATATGTGCATTATATAAAATGATTAAAAGTTTTTATTTTATACAGGGTGACTGGTGAATTACTAATCATATATGACAAAATAAAAATTAATATAACATAAATATTAATAAACTTCTAAGTAAAGTTAACCAAAAGTTATGTAATTAATTACGCATCGTATGAACACCCTACAGATTAGGTATACACACACACACACACACACACACTCGCGCGCGGCGGCGTGTTGTTGTATCATCACGCCGCCGCACGCGTCCACACTTGGAACACTTGGAACGTGTCCACACTTTATTTATTTATACGGAAATTTGGTCAAAAATTAAGTACCTATTTTTTACATAATTCGAATGAGAATCATGTACCGAGTATGCTCCTTAAATATTGATAGTAATTCACCAGTCACCCTGTATATTTAGTTAACCAAGTATATTCCACTTTAGAATTGGTTTTAACTTAAACTATAGCGTAGATCTTCGTCAAGTGGTTTGAAGTATGAGATAATAATCTAGAAACTTGATTAAAAGCGGTATATTTTGGATAGTTCCATTGTAATCTTAGCTGAGGCATGGGTAGGTAGAAATTGAACCTTAATTATATAGAGCAGTAAGATACAAAATTGCATGCAAGAAATGATCCAACCTGTTCTTTGTCTTCTTGAGATTTTGGGTACAGAGTGACATTAAGGACGATTTCCCCCAAATCCTGGTTGGTCGGTTTGTTTGGGTCTCGAAGACAGAGGACTAGGTCTTGTGATCTGCCAAGCTCCAAGGCCGTGAGGTCCAAGTGACAAACACCCATAAAGTCATCTTGTAATCCCCAATCATAATCGAATACCTGCAATATTGATTCCAATCAAAAGGATATTGTGTTAGTTACACTATTTATAACTAAAGAAAGGCTGTACGGATATAGTTGAAAATTGGTTGGGAAATATCTTAGAACCAGGAGACGAACATAGTATATGTAATTCTGTTTGATTGAAAAAGAAAAAACTTAATGAATTCCAATATCTGGATATTTATGGCGTCTAGGGCGGAATAAAGTTCGCCTGGTCAGCTATACATGTATTAATAATTCCGATACTAACTCAGACGAAGAAGAAGGCAAAAATTAGTGTTCTAATAAAAAGTATCGTTTTTATCGAACTTTAATGAGAAAAGTTTTAAAATATAATAAAAAATATTCCTATCTTCTATAACAATAAGTATAGCAACTATTCTAGATAACAAATGAATAATAACTTCGTTATTCGTTTAATAAAGAAAGGACACTCAAAGACAAAGTAATTGGAAAACTCTGTACTTGATGAGAAAAGACTTTATTAGATGCAATATCCAAGAGAGTACTGTTGTTTGAGAACTTTCCTCTGTCTTCATTACTTATTATAACCATATATTTATATGACAAAATTAATTAATCCTACTTCTGCTATATAGCTTTAGTTCATTAGTTAACTTGGTCTTATAAGGCCTTAAAAAACTATTAACAGCAGTTATTGAATGGTACACTATAAAATTAAAAACAAAACAAAACACATTTTTTTATAACTTGCTACATTAATTAACTTAAATACAACTAGGTTGAAGCATAAATTTTACTAATACGTAGATAAAATTCTAAAATAAATCTAAAGTATCTAATTTAAACTTTTAATCTGAATGAATATTCTAGTTCTTATAGTTAAATAAGAAATAAGTATGAAAACTTTTATTAGTTCTAAACTAACCTAATACTATCTTTTGTTAAATGGAATTGTCAAACTATATGGTTGGATACGCTATTTCTCATATGTATAAGCTACTACTCAAACATAACAACTAATTATTGATTTTACTTATAAATTCGACATAATATAGAAGTGTTAAACTATTACATGGACTAAATATTTTATTTGTAAATACTAAGGATTCGTCTATCAGTACTTTACTAAATTCATGTTTATCTTTATTCAAATGATCTATTTGCAATTATTTAATAAGGGCTTTGAAAATTTACATTAAGTGGTATATAGGAGATTTGAGAATTTGAATAAGGAAGTGTTGAGACCGGAGATTTGTGCTATTGGATAGTATTTACTTTGTATTTGAGTGATAGAAAATTTAAGAAAAGAATATAGGATAAAAGAGTTTTGAGCTCATCCTAGGTTCATTTGTACATTACACGTTGGAAACATACCTTTAATTGCACAGGAAGGAATGGATCTTCTATGGGCACAGTGAAACATTCGTCCCAAACAGGATTAAGATCTCTGTAAACTATTCTCGATTTGTGAAGTAATCTTCCAGCAACTTTGAATTTCACGTACGGGTCACTGGTTCCTGACAACAAACCTGGTTTTGGCACCCGACAAAACAGGTATTAGAAAAAAATTAAGAAGCCAAAATAATATAACAAATAAAGCCTAATAGGGAAGGGGGTTACAATACAAAAATATGATAAATTTTGAAGATTTTCATTCGTTTTCATAATTACTATAAAGATTTTTCAAATAACATTATAATTATTATCTTATCAACTAAAACTTAGCATACAGTGTCAGAACTAGTTTAAAACCAATAAGGTGAAAATGTATGAGTAATAAAAATAAATAAATTGATATGATTTTATCTGTGTTCTAAAGAATTAATGCATTACTAGGGAAATCGAAAAGCAAAAGCTCTAATAAATTGCAATAAAAAATATAAAGTGCGAAATCAAAATAATATAATACATATAAACGTAATAATAAAGTATTTTTTATAGAAATTTATATATTGGTTCAAGTGACATTATTAAATTAATAAAATTGTAAGGTTTTTTTTAATATAAAGCGTGTTTTCATTTTTAATTTGATTAATTAATTATTTTACATACGTGAGTATCGTGACAGTTTTGCAACACCATTATAGCTTTGCTTGATATTTTTCTTTTCATTTTATCGTGTCTGTGTTTGATCTGGTGCAGCCAAAGTGTTCTGTGTAACTTACCGTTTTTATCCATGGCAATAAGGTTTTGACCTCTCTTTAAATGTATCCTTAATTGGAAGAAGGAGTATTGCCTTAACTGCTGTTCTCGTAATTTTTGCCCTTCGTCTGGTTCCTATAGAAAAAAAACTTGCTAAATTATCAATAGTCATCTTTAAAAAGTCCTTTAAAAGTTAAAGGCCCGTCTCTAATGCAGGAGGGCGCGGGTTCATTCCTGACAAGTATCAATGTGATTTTTCCGAGTCGTATGTACTTTATAAGAGTATTTAGACACCACTGACAGACGGTGAAGGAAAAACATCGTGAGGAAACCTGGACTTAAAATTTCACTATTATAAGTTTGAAATCGCTAAACCGTCTTGAGCAAGAGTTTTGATTAATGTCATGTGAGAAGAGACCTTTTCTCAGCAGTGGGCTCTGATAGGCTGACAATGATCTTTAAAATATATTATCCTGATTCATCATTACTTAACTTATCATTACGTACTGTACTTGCATTTCATACAAATTACATTCTCTTCAAAATATATAGAACAAGTTCTTGTATTTTATTTCGCCTGATGATAATAAAGAGCTTTAAATACTAACTTCAGTCGTTGCCTAACATGTCGACATGACATCAAACAATAACATGAATTATTTAGTAAACTGACATTTATTTAGCGAGGAATATGATAAAGTTCAAGGTTGAACTAAAATTAGAAGTAAAAATATGTACTAAAGTTTCAAGCTTATAATAACTCACGTATTACTTTATATAAGAAATTGAATTCACAATTTTGTTAATATATTAGTCATCACAGTTTAATGAAGGTTTTTTTTTATTTTCGTTTAAAAACGAAATGGAATGTAACTTTGGTATAAAGGCATTGACTTCAAAACAAATAGATTATTCTATGATCGATTCTGTTAAAGAACCATTCAATTATGTACTCGGCATTTATTGCTGTGCAGTAGAAGCGCATTTATTACTGTGCAGTAGAACTTAATCGAATAGTTACGAAACTCTGTAAGTTTCTTCTTTGATGGACTTCTGAAATGTATTTATGCAGATCTCAAACTTCATCTCAGTTATTTTGTTTTGAATTTGTGATAAACTTTAAATTTCTCAAAGTAATCAAGTCACTTACTCTACTAACTATATTTCGAACTTAACTTTGATAGCGGGAAAATGAAAACAAGTGACGTAACTGTAAAAGCAATCTTAATGTCTAAAATATGCTTTTAAGTTCTTAATTATGGTAAATATGAACAAAGTGATTATACACATTTTAATAATTAATAAATTCGATGTGGTATTACGTAGTAAATGTACATCGATTAAAATTGAGTACCCACTGGTGTCGTAAATTCTGAGCATTTGTGGTCTTAGTCTATCAATTTTATTAATAATTCTATACAATTGAGTCTACTGCAAAAGTTATAAATGAAATCATAATTGAGTTTTTGATCCGATCCAATACAAAGTGGAAAGACATCCCTACTAATATTATAAATGCGAAAGTAACTCTGTCTGTCTGTCTGTCTGTCTGTCTGTCTGTCTGCTACGCTTTCACGCCTAAACCACTGAACTGATTTTAATGAAATTCGGTACAGAGATAGAGTTGACCTTGAGAAAGAACATAGGATAGTTTTTATCCCAGACTTTTGAAAGGTTCTCTTGGAAACGCGATATAACCGAACTCCACGCGGCGAAGCTGCGGGCGGAAAGCTAGTTGCATATAAATCAATTAGTGAATAAGTGTTACATTTATATCTAAGTAATTTTTTTTTTTAGATATTATCAATATAAAGTCAGTGGTGGCCTAATGGTTAGAGAGCCCGCCCCTCGTTCGATTCTGGCCCGGGCAAGTACCAATGTGATTTTTCCGAGTCATATGTACTTTCTAAGAATATTTAGACATCACTGATTAATGCTGATTCCCAAAAGAGGGTTGATGTCAGGCAGGCGGCCGGTCGTAAAAACAATTAGCCAAAACTATTCACAACATGTAAGGCAGACCCTGGCTATAGCCGGGAAATTGCCAGGTAGAAGAAGAAGATATAATCATTATAGTTATTCAGTTTCCAGGCTATACTTTACTTATTCTTGGATAAACTAATTGTACGAGCTACGCTGGACACAATTGCAAAATCATGTAGGTAAATGCACGCATCATCATTTCTGTTACATAGCAAAATTACAATAACTTATAATTTAATTCAGTTCGCATTCAGTCATCAAGTATACCGGACGTTCTCATCAATTATATATTTTATATTATTATATCAAATTAATCAATCTACAAAGCATTATCAATTTATATAATTTTATTAAGTGTATGAGCAAGCAAGTGGCCGTATAGTAATATTTTGAAAAATACCGATATAGATAGAATAAAAAACATTTTATTATTATTATAAATAAATTGATTTAAACAATTTATGCAGAACTTATAAAAGATTAAACATCCAATTTTGTTGCAATTTTCAATTCAAATTTAGTATGAGTGATCTTTAACGGTAAAATGTTGTTATTTAATTATGGACGTTAATTATCACATAATCTTAAATTTGAAAGTCACCAAATGAGTTAATGTTTTTTTACATAACGCATCTATCATCTTACAGATTTGAGATAGTGAATTAAATAAAGTCTCTGTTCTAAATTTTACAGGTCGTTACAATAGTAGCTGTTGAATGAAGATATTATTAAAAATATGAATACATATGTATTGAAGAAAACCTGTAACCAAAATATAAGTAAACAACTGTTAGCGACACACTATGTGTCATAAGATGTCATACAATTCAACTGTTATGGCTCAAATCAAAGACACCAGTCTAATTCCACAAAAAATTACAGCCTATGTGTTATTCTGATATATAATCTATATTACTATGAAGTTTAATCAAAATCCATTCAGTAGTTTTTACGTGAGAATGCAACAAACATACTTACATCGTGACAAATTTCTGCATTTATAATTTTAATACGATAAAATTGTTCTTAAAATCTACTATATGCATTTTATTTTTATAACACTATTTTCGTGGAAATTTTTGTTAGTAGAACACAAAATATCGCCCCAATCATATTTTTCAATTAAATAAGTAATGTATGTATGTTATAAATTTCCGAACTGAATTAATGAGAAAAAATATATAAAAAGAATATTTTCATATTATTAAATGAAAAACTAAGGTCGGATTTTTAAATTAAGCTAGTTTCCAACTTTTATTTACCACACAGTTTTCAAACTAACTCTTTATTGTAAGTCAAGACGAAACCTTTTGAGTTGCTCCGATGATTGGCTCAATATAGCACCTGAGTCTTGATTAATATCTACACTGGAGTTATTTTTGGGTTCTTTACTTTGACATGTATCTAAAATTAGGATTTTGATGAACAGCTTACATCACAAACAGCAATAGGAGTAGTAGTGTCAAATTTTACGAACCTTTATATAGGATAGTTTTTATTTCACTTTTGAAAAGTTATCTTGGAAACGCGATATAACTGAACTCCACGCGGGCGAATCTGCGGGCGGAAAGCTAGTACATTTCTAATTCTGAAACTAACGCAGATAAAGTCGCGGGTAAAAACTAGTATTGTATAATTACCAAGCTCAATAGGTCAACTGGCGGTCTTGATAGATGTGCGGGGGTCGAAGATGTTGAGGGCACAGGTTCTATTGATGTTTGACGCGTCACTGATGTATCTGTAAACAAATATTATATACATATAAAGCTTTGGTTGACACATTATAACCGTCTCTTAGACTATAATATCAAGACTGGAGTGTGAGAAGAAAATAAGTGGTTTAACCACGATATAAAAGGAAATAATACATTTAAGAACATAATACTTATCTAAAGTACAGTGTAAATGAAATAATACATAGATAGATTTGAGTCATTGCTGATTTTGTTATGTGCCTATTTAATAATACGTCAGTGAATTATGTAAGTTAAGGAAAAAAAATGTTCAATTTAAAACCTGCTTCTAATATATAAATATATATATGTGTAGATATGTAGCTTTTTTTTGCGAGACTTGATTCGTAATTTAGGATCAGATCTAAATGATAAGTATTTCTTAGTGATTATACTGTGATAAGTTTACATTGACCTGAAAAGTGAAACAGTTAAAGTAAATATAAGGATTTAACCTCGTTCTATTTGATTTTTCACCTAAAAGGCTTTTATGTTACTCATTTTCTAGAGTTTCGTGAAAATTTTCTAGATGTAAGTTTGTTGTTTGAGATTTTTAGGAGGTTTTTTTTTACTCATTTAAGTTTAACTAAAAAGAGGCTTCAACACAGAATGTTAAATCAGTTGTGTATTTTATGTTAAAACTTAAAGTTATTTCGTTAGGCCTAGGACAAAGGAACCCTTTTAATAATGTTTATTGAAGCTAGCATTGTTATAAAAGTATAATAAATCTACCCATAAACCCTTTTTTGATTTAACTTGGTGCCATATTGAGAATATATCTATATTTATCTATGTATGTAGGTACATTAATTTGCAAAACGAGCTAAATAAATATAAAGTAATAAAAAATAAGAAATGCTGTCTTGAATTTTGTTAAAGTAAAATTAATGACTTCATATAAATATATAAAAAGAAACAAGTAAAAAAGATAATTTGGACTTTATAAATAAAAAGAAATTGGAACATTTTAAAAAAGTTTGAAAAATGAATTTAAATGTGTTCCGTGAATGAATGTATTTATAATTCAAGGAATGTAGGATAGGTTCTTTGTATGTAATGAAGGCAAGCATGAGTCAATGGCGCTTTGCAAGTTATAATGAGCATATATTGTCTTTAAAAAACTTTAAATACTAACACACAATGAGAAACTCTGTTTCTGATTTCTTAACCACTGGATTTATATCGGATTATATAGAGACTATTTATTTGTGAATATCATGGTTTAACCTTAACTGTAGCACAGAAAAAACAACCTTATTTTCTTATAATAGAGTATTAATTTCAATGTTAGATACGACGTAATTTTGAATTTGTCGAGAAGAGTATAAAACAAACAGCAATATACTCTTTACACAGCATGATTGTGTCACTTCAGGAATTGGGTCGAAAGTATTGAAAGTTAAGAACAAATAAAAGAATTCAAAACGTAAAATTTATGGTAGGTATATTTTACAATTGTATGACAAGATATGGCAATAGTGTGATGAATTTAAGACACGAAGGATCTTAATATTTACGTAAATTGGATTCAAATAAATAGCCCTAGCAGGATCTTTTCAAATTTGGTTACGTAGAGAGAGGAGCTCGGACAGTGGAGGTAAGCGTTTAACGCGTGTTAGATAGAGACCCTTAAACCTACACCTGGGTCGCAAGTCCCAGGCACTGTAGAAGCTACTCTCTTTACAACGATGGACCAGGTCGGGAAAAACCATTTTATTTCAAAATCTAGTTAAAATATATGATAATTACAGTTTATTTTATACTAAAGATATATTTCTTTACCTTCCTACATCATTTAAGCTTGATTTTATATTGCATTGTATCTGTTCTTTGAGAAAGTATATGGGTCTCCTAAAACGTAACTTTAATTTCCCATATGTACAAAATAAAACAATAACTGGATGTAATATTTTATTTTTTATATACATTCTTGTGTTTAAAATCAAATTCAAAGTCAAATGGTATACCCTACATACATTTTTTTTTCACTGGACTTGTTTCTTAACCTTATACAAAAAAACCAACTCTTCAAAAGTCACTTTTTACCATAGACATGCTAATTTATATTTTATAGTGAGAGGTCATTTTTTCTTAACCCGGTTTTCGTAAGTGCAAAAGAGTAAACACTGTATTCACCGCAAAATACGTTCAAAACTAAAGCATTGTATGATCGTCCCGAAAAAGGACGCCCCCCAGACACGACAAAAATTCGAGAGTCCCAAATTGGGACGCTCCACACATGAGAGGATAATTATGATTTCCCAACAACAAATGGACACCTATATGACGTAACATATCTTAAGAATTGTCTACTATGTATACATGTCATGTAAGTATATTACACAACGCTCCTGCCACACGCTCTTCTCTCTTGTCTCCCTGTGCTCCGACGCCCACAGATATACATTTACCCCGCGGTTACTCACTTATGTGGTTTATTTCTATCCATTTTATTGACTTAAACTTTAAAAAGAAATATCAATTTTTATATATTATGACAAATTTAAGTTCAATTGTGTCGTCATACTTATATGTATTTATCATTTCATTTTACGTAATCATTTAAATCACAATCTGATGTAGGTGTACACCACAAATATGACAAGGGATGAACAACCACGAACAATAAAAGATTTATGAGAAAATGTAATTTTGGATACATTTGGGTTAAACAACATAAAGATTAACAAATATAGGAATCAAATACTCGTAATATTATTAGTGTTGTCCCAAAGGAATACAAATATTTCTTGTCAGTTCATAATTCGTTTAGTAGTCACTTAATCAATATCAGGATAATATCGTATGTACTATATATGAAATACAGAACCATATTTTATTTTGTCAGTAAACTAATTGAAGTCAAACGACTTTTGGTATTGGTGAATTGTGAATTTAATATGCTTGTGAAATATGTTAATATATAAAAAGGAAGTTTAATAAAAATTATAACTTTTCAATTAAAACTAATATTATCGCATATTCATTCATGAAAGTCATTTTCATCTCGTCTGTCCGTGATCACGATCACCGAAATGTGGGGTGTGTGTTGTATTTATAAATAATAAAATACGCGTATGTAGTAACCCGAAAATAATAGTTTCATTTAAATGAATTCTCACGAAAGTCTTAGATCTTATTATTACAAATTTTAATGAAAAAATCCAAATAATTGTTACCTTATTTGAAATACTTTACCAAGTATACTTTGTGTAATAAAAATTAAAGAAAGGAATAAGATTTTAAAACAAAGTAATTCATACTTGATATTATACTGACAATTGACAATAGGAAAAAATTTCGTCATGACTAATAAATTACAAGGAACGAAATATCAACGCCCTTTGTTATTTTTCATAACCAACTATAGATATATACATATGTATATTTACAATTGTATTACACTCTTCGTCGAGTTAATTTACCCTTTGCTTGGAAACTATTTAGAACTCTTATTTGCATTATATATATTAAAAGATTGAGTTAACAAAAATAAAATTACTTTACTTTGAAAAATATAAATACATATAATATTTTCAATGTAGTTTAGAAAGAAACATTTTGTTCGTATATGTAATTCTAGCTTACTTTATAGCTTATTATCTTGAGTACGCTAGCTTAATGTTTAAATTGTCATAAAAGTAGGTATTACTAAATCGATAAAAGAAACTTGATACCAGATATTGTTAAGCAATCAAGTTGAATAGTTGAATTAATATATACTGTGCTTTTATATAAGAATAAAAAAACTTTAAAAAATCAATAACTATGTTATATTTAGGTAAAGTTACAACTCAAATTTAAAAATAAGGCTTATCCTATACTAATGTGAATGTTGTAAATATAAATAAGTAAACAGTGTGAGTCCTAGAACAAAATTCACAAAATTTGGAGTTGAAGTTACTATTAAAACTATGTCTCCTTCTGTAAAACGACAACCTTTGTTCCAACACGTTCCTATTGTTTCTACCACTATTGTGATAGTAATTTATATAAGTATATATATATATATATATATATTTTTTGGGGCAAGTGATGTTCCAATGGCGTCAACTATGACGAATTCCCGTTTTTGAAAGATAGCTCCTACATTCTCAAAATTTTGAAGGAATCTTCTATGTGAGGTATAGAAATTATCTAACAGTAAATTTTATAGTAACTCATTCTCAATAATGATTACGGGCTTGAATGCTAAAAATGAAAATTTTAAATTTCTTTATTTTATGAGACGTGAAATGGGCGGGTCATGGCTACTATTTAATATTCTTATTTTATAGTAGTACACAAGTAAAACTATTATTTTATTCACCACTTTCATGCTATCTTTTAATTCTACCACAATAACGTTATCTGGAACAGATCATTAAGCGATAAAATTGCTTTTTGTATATCTTCGTGTCTAGGATACACTTTTTGTATTCGTTTACAACAATTGTAATGTGTAATGAACTACTTATTCTTCTACCTGGCAATTTCCCAGCTATAGCCAGGATCTGCCTTCATGTTGTGAATAGATTTGGCTATTTGTTTTTACGACCGGCTGCCTGCCTGACATCAACCCTCTTTGGGAATCAGCATTAATCAGTGATGTCTAAATACTCTTAGAAAGTACATATGTATGACTCGGAAAAACCACATTGGTACTTGCCAGAACCAGGATCGAACCCGCGCCTTCATGCATAAGAGGTCGGCCTTTAACCACTAGGCCACCACTGACTAATGTGTAATGAACTATTTTATTATAATTATATAAGTGGCAGTACATTACACTTAAAATTTCAACAAAAAATATGAAATTTGTAAATTGAAGTCAATTTAAACCTGTGCGACTAACACTTTATACTAATAAATTTATCCTATGTGTTAGATAACTACATTCTCTTAGAATTCTTTAGCCTTTTAATCTGTTTGATATGATTGAATAAAAGACCACAACCGCTTTCTATTACTTCACCATTATTATTTTTATAGTTTCCTAAGAATCTACGAGTACATAAAAATATTC